CAACAAGCTAATAGCAAATAAGCACAAATAATAAAGACGCGATGCACCAGAATTTTTACGTGGAAAACCCCTCAAATCGAGAGTAAAAACCACGGGTCACAAAGACCACCAAGCAAGCTCCACTATGACCAGAAATAGGGTACAAGAGTGTCTCAAACAAGGGCTGAAATCAGTATAAAGATACTGCAAATATACTGCCACAACAAGGAGCAAACAACTAGAGAATATGCAGAAAAACCAGAAAATACTGCCTCTGTTCAGATTCGAATATATCAGCCTGCAGACCTCCAAATCCAAAACTGACCGGTGGAAATCAAGTTCAATGTGTCCCGAACCTGCTCCTAAAATTTCAGAACAATCGGACACCGTTTGACCCTCCAAACATCAGTCTGAAAAACGCTGCGCACACAAATCCGAGAAATGAACAGCTTACTTCTCTCTCTCGATTTTTCTGCTCTCTCTCTCTCTCTCTCGTTTTCTGCTCCCTCTCTCTCGTTTTCTGCTCTCTCTCTCTCTCTCGTTTTCTGCTCTCTACCCTAACTCCACCTCTTGTTAACCTCTTATTTCATCAAAGAGTGGGCTTGTGAAGAATTGGGCTTTACTTGGGCCTCCACATAAGAAGTGAGCCCAAAACCCAACACTTTTACAGTTTCAATTCTTAAGCAGAAGGGTGTGGCGTGCCGGCAAAGGGTCGGAAATCAGAGCTGGCTTTGGTGTCGATCGAGAACACCGCCTTGATCCATGTTTGGCGCGTTGGGGATCTGCACGTTGGTCAGGACGCTCTTCCCCACACTCTCATATCCCAGGTATTCTTGCGTGACCAGCTTGGCCGTCACGCCGATTGGTGGCCACACCAAATAGCCTTACTCTCTCGACTCAAGATAAATTTTTCTTGGAAGGAAAAAAATATGTTGATAAAATTCTCCTTTCACAAATTCAACATTGCGGATTGATTTTTAATTTTTTTTTTTTGGAAGTCATAATGTTAATTAAAAAAAAATCAAATTTATCTTGACAGTAATAAAACGTCATCAAAATACTCAAATAAAAGTGACATTATTTTTACTCTTTAAATAAAAGTTTGATAGTGTGCACTGTGACAATGTCATATCAATATATCAGTGTGAATGTCACTGGTGGTCAACGTCAGTGATGGGGCGGCGGAGCTTCGCAAACCAACGACGGTGCTCTAGTGGCAAAAAGGATAACAATTGTAGTTATTTAGATCACAAAAAAAAAAAAATCTTTGTTTTGTTTTGATTTTTTTATTTGTTCGGAAATTTCGTACTTATCCATTTAAGCTACCTCTCTCTATGGCCGAATCTTCTTCAGTCTCCGCTGCGTCTCTTTGCCACCGCCATGTCCGACCTCAACTCTCCAAAACCTAAGCCTACACGCGACCTTCCTCCTCCGTCCTCAATCGACCCATCCCACCCCAAAGCTTCGATTCGGAGCTCCAATGGAGTCGGGTACTCCGGCGGCAATTCGTTCCCTAACCCACCCGACCACGTGAACCCGGATCCCGCCACTCTCAGAGAGCAATGGAGATTTGCGATTCGGCAATACAGCAAGTGGTATTCTCACGCATGGGGCACTGCCATACTCGCCGGCGCGTCCTTTTTCGCCATTGGGTGGATCATCAAAGGCGGCAACCCCTTGCCCTCCTTTGATTCTGACCAGAAGAGCATTTCCTCCGAAGATCCCAAAGGCGAAACCAATGGCAAATGATGGATTGGATTTAGGGTCAGTGTTTAAATCTCCTGATTTTCCTTTCCTTTTTAAGTTTATGCGGTGGTCATTTGAAAATGCATTGGTGTTTAATCATACTGAATTCTGGTTACTTAAAGTCGTCATCACCATGGAATTCACTCAGAGCAAGAATCATGAATATCTACCATTAGTATCAAACTGAGAATTCATTTGATCAAAAGATGGGAGGGAAGGGGAGAAGAATTTGTGCTTGGTTCAATGTAGTAGTGATGAGGAGTTACATTTTTGCAAAATTTGTAAAGCTATGCCATTTGATAACATTTTTGTGGCAATTAAAATGTATGAATCTACATGTGGTTGCACTCATCATCATCTTCCTCATCATCATCAGTGATTCACTATCACAGTATCGCCACCTTAATCCCAATTACTTGGAGTCGTTGACATTTAATTTATAGTGCTTTGTAGTTGTATGGATTTCGTTAAAATGTTAAAATCATGTAAAAAGGAAATAACTTAGGGGAAAAAACTCTTCCAACCAAACAAATACACTTTCCTTCCATGTCATCCAAAATCGTACAACTAAACAAAGGGTAAGCAAAGACGGAGCGTGATTAAATGATTAATAAGCAACAAAGTGTTTCAAAATGGTCATGTTTTATAATGTGGGTGTTAATTCTACAAATTACAATATCCATTTTGTGATGATAATATTATCCATTTTGTGATGACTACACTAACTATATCAACTCATTGCATACTCAAACCTTATGGTCCTCATGATATTTTTCATTGAAGCAAATAAAACAAATGATGATGGTTTTGACATTTCATTTCATTGTTACCTGAATTTATTTTGTAAAATAATTTTAAACAATGATTTGACAATATAAGTTTCTCATCCACGGCCCACCAACACCAATGTTGTTGAGATTAAAGTGTTGTTGACGATGATGATGATGATGATAAAGTGTTTTAAAGGATAGGTTTCTCTCGACTATGGTTCCCGTACATGCCATACTGTAAATTTATGCTATATTCATCCCCAAAGGGAGTCATGTTTGATCAAAACATACTTTTTTTCAATTTCAGTAATGTGCTAATATCATACTCCTGTTCTTGTTTAAACTTTACATTTCCCCTTTTTGCTCATCACAGAATAATCTCCAATTTTCTTTGAATGTAAGGAGTATGTTTACTCATAACGTTTCTGATTTCTCTCTTCTAAACAAATTCCAAACTACACACATTTCACTTTCCAACCATTTTCCAAAACTAGGTGCCCTGCCAAACCAGGCACTAAAATTGGCACGGAGGCAATATATGATAAATCATGAAGCATACCCATTTCTATAAAATCTATGTCTTGGTTCAACTAAATTATCCTATGTTATTTGCCTGTGACTTTTTTGGCATTTTGACAAATTAGACTGTAAATTAGCTATGTTGGCTAGTGGAGCTAAAAGGGTCATAATTGATAATGTTTTAGCTTTTGGTAAATAATGGACTAAATCAAATGACACATTAAACCTTCTTTTTTTTCTTACTTTCAATGATGTTTTGTGTAGTAATGAATGAATGCATCATGCGTCTAACAAAAACACTCTCTGTAAGAGGGACAAGACTACGTCCCAAACTCAAACGGGAGTTGAGATTATGCTGGATTGTTGTTGTTGTATATGATAAACTAGCTTCATATGCTCAAAGTGAACTTTTGTCTGGGGGGAGAAAGTGTTTGAAATAAACATCTTATGTTTCGGATCCATTCAAACAGGTCTTTAATTTTTTTTGTAAGCAGTGTATTTGTTTTATATGCAGGAACTTCTCAACACTTTTATCAGTGAGCTTCTTCTCTATAATGTGCCCCCCTGAAGACGTTTGTGAGGGGATCATATTTTCGGAGCTTGGTCCAGTACAATACCCTCAAGCATGGCACCTTAGATCACAAGAAAGATTGGTGCTGGCTTGTGTTTAAGTATATTGTCCAACATGTTAGCTGTATATCCAAAAACTATATATGGAATAATCTGCACTCATGTTTTGTCTTGTCTTGTTTATGCATATTCAACATGAGAAATGCAAGATCTTGTTGGACAATAGAAACAACCAAAGTTCATACAACATAAGATGAGAGATTAGATGTAAATTCCTTGACATTTGTAATTTGCTTTAATAGAGAATCCAAGTAATTGTCTGGCTGGTCTTGAGATGGAGTTCTTTTTTTGCTTTTTGGGTATTGAGGATCCTTAATAATGTCTTATAACATGCTCTAAATGTATATACAATGTCAGAAAAAGAATGACACCTAAGAGACTACATGGATTTGATCATCCTCATCATCATATTATGCAGAACAACACCCTCCATTACCTTTGGAATTGTCCTTGTCCCCAATGTTTATTGCCCTTCCCCGGGGCAAAGCGGCTGGGTCGTCCCCAATGTCAAGGGCCTTGCGGCTGACCACCCGATAGATCTGAGCCAGCACTTCGGTGAAGGCGCTTTCGACGTTGAGTGCCTCAAGGGCCGAAGTTTCCATGAAAAATATGTTCTCCCTTTCCGCAAACGCCCTCGAACTCCCCGTGGGGACCGCTCTTAGGTGCCCGAGGTCCGCCTTGTTCCCTACCAACATGATCACTATGTTCTGGTCGGTGTGGTCCCGCAGCTCCCTCAACCATCGCTCCACGTTCTCAAAGGTTATGTGGCGAGTAATGTCGTACACAAGCAATGCTCCTGCGGCCCCTCGGTAATATGCACTCGTGATTGCCCGATACCTAAATCACATCTAAAATCATTTAGCAAAATGTTCATATTCATATTCCTTCGGTCGATCATCATCGCGGTGGACGAAAAAGAAAATGATGTAAATTATATGGTTAAACAACAAATTTATTCCCAATATTTAGAGCCTAAAATATGTGATTTTTGTGATTTTCATGACAAAATTACATGTTTACCTTTCTTGGCCGGCGGTGTCCCAAATTTGAGCCTTGACAATCTTGTCGTCGTCGACTTGGATGGTACGTGTGGCGAACTCGACGCCAATGGTGGATTTCGACTCTTGGCTGAACTCATTGCGGGTGAAACGAGAGAGCAAGTTGGATTTTCCGACGCCGGAGTCGCCTATTAGCACCACCTTGAACAAATAGTCATAATCTTCATCTCCCCTATAAGCCATTAATTGTTTCTTAATCACTTCGAAATATATAATTATATTATAACAACTACCCAAAAATGGTTGTTTGGATATCCGTGTTGATAGTGGAGAAGGAGAGGGATATGAAATTTGTGATGGAGAAGCAGATTAATTAGGATTTAGTTTTGAGGGAATTAATTAAAGAGAGAATTATTCACATAAGAGACATTATTAGCTTGCAATTTTCTTTTTATGTGTACTAAGAATACATACTCAACACACGTCTATAACAACCCAATGTATCACAAGCCGAAGATGATGGTTTGGGGCACACAATATTTTCCGTCCAACTCGGTATATTTATGTGTAGTTTCTTTTAGAGAAATGTCGTTGATATTAGTAAAATGCAATCAAAATATCAAAATATAAATATCTCTTAAATAGAAATTTGATAGTATAAATGGTGATAGTGTGAGGGTGGATTACTGTTGGAAATTTTTGATAAATTGGACAATTTTCGGACATAAATTCAGTAGGGTCCACAAAATTATTTTCTGAAATAATTATGAACGTTTAATCTCGTAAGTGAAATAAGTGTTTCGACACATTACACGCCAAAAATGGTGCTCGGGTGAATGAGAAATTAATTCACAAAGTCGGGAAGAGTAAAAGTCTTTGTCCCACACCGGATCTTGAACCTTTCACATTCTCATATTTAAACTTGAGCACTTAATTGAGTTTATGAAAGGAACAAGAAGAGGACTCCTCGCGCATTGCCGCCGCCGTCCGGCTCGGCACGCGCGACGGCCGCGCCAGAGCGGGGCTAACTCCCTACGAGACCGAATCGAACACGCGTGTCGTCCAAGGGTTGAAGCATGCATGCATAAACGGTGACGAAAAGTCACTCGACTCTTCATAATGTCCGACGGTCCAGCGAAGGGCCAACTTCCACTCCTATAAAAGGAGGGGTTGGCCGCAGAGATGAACACACCAGTACACACTCGAAAATATCTCTGCGTTCTAAAGTTTCCGACAACTCCCCAACTCTGATAATCTTCTTCGGCGATAGCTCTCCGTCATTCTCGTTCGCCGGTGCTCTGTTCTACCGCTCTAGACTTAGCACGCAGCGGTTTTATCCTGGGAGGAGATTGCCCACGTTTTCCAGTGCGGGAGGCGGGCAATACTACCTTAAGGAAAGCTTCGGCGACTCCGCTTTCCTTACTCTTCTTCCAAGAAACTGTTCCGGCGACGCTCATACAGGCGTAGCTTTTCGTCTTCCTCTCTTCGTCCGACGTCTCTGTTTTCCGTTGAAGCATCCGTAGACTCCAAGTTTTTCTTTTCTTTATTTTGTTGTAAAATCCGAACGTTTTATAAGTTCAGATTAATTTTATTTTTATTTTTCCCGCTATAACATCAACAATTACTGGTCAGTGATGGTCAATGCCGGTGGCGGAGCTCCGCGACATCACTTCAATGGCAATGTGGGGCGCCCTGGTGAATGTGTGGCGTGGCCGTGAGGTAGTGACAGCGCAGTGTGCAGTGTGAGAGTGACAATGCAAACTCATATTTAAGTATCAATAAGAGTCATACTCTTATTTTGGTATTTCATCATCTTTTCGTGTACTCCTATTTATGCATTTCTTTATTGCATTCGATATATAAAGTAACATGTGTTAAAACTTTTTATAACGGGGAAAAAATAAAGGGAAAAATGTTTGAGGGACGGATGAAGTATTATGAAATGAGTAGTGATAGTCAAACTAAGTTAATAAAGTGTGACCACATGAATAGTGCATGTGAAGACCATTTCCAGACAAAGAGAGTATTAAAATATTGTTTTACTTGAAATTGTTTTTTCCATTTATTTAAAAATTAGTTTGAATGCGGGTCGAACCAATCCGAGACTCACGGGTACTCATGAGGTTTGGGCTCTAAGATTTAATTGTTAAAGCCGCTATGTAAAATGAGCCCAACTTAAAAAGACCTAAAATGTCAAATCTAATTGTTGGGATCACACGTACTCCCACTCAAATCCTGCATTAGTAAGGTATTGTCTACTATGAGTCCAGTCTTGGATATGTTTTTGGGCACCTCCCAAAAAGCCTTACACTTATGGGTTGACTTGAACCTATATATTTTGATTCTTTCTCCTCCTTTTTTTCCAGCGCAAGAGATAGTCTGCTACCCAACAAAGCTTCCCTCAAACTGATGACCACACAACTCGTGACTTCCACTTCAACGATTATCCGTTTGATTTACTCATCATCTTCGATCGCCGCTATGACAACCTCGGGGGACACGCTGCCCCGTCTCCTTTTGATGGGAAGACTTTTTAACTCAAAGTATACTGCAGAGCACCAATCTGCTTAGGTCACATGATTTGATCTGCCAAATCATCTTGTACCGCCGTTAACAACAAACAGGACATGCCGCCCGACCACCACTTATAAAGAAGACTTTCGGGATAAGGCACCACCTGTAGATCTTCGATCATGTTATAACATTGGGCACACTAAGAACTCCGCATAGCGCAGTTTGTTGTTTCTGCCCGTATGAGCTTGAGCTCTGATATTACATGTTGGAACCGCGCATACCCTCACCATAACCCCGCATTAATATGAAATTCTTCGCTCGGGTAAGGCTTTCACAGATTTGTTTTTGGGCACCTCAGCTCCCAAAAGGCCCTAGAACGGGTAATTTCATAGTAATGCGGGATTGGGGTGAGGGTGCTCGAGACCTAACACTAATATAGCGTCTTAATAATCCGATTCAAACTTTAATGAGGCCTAAGCAGATTGAGTCTAGAAACTTGCTCTTTCCATCTCGAATTCATTGACTTTACAAAATTTGTTAAAAATATTGAGAAGGTAAAAGTGAGAAGTCGAAATAGTAGTAAAAGAAAGAGAGAAATTATAAATTACTTATTTTTTACTTTATTAAAAACGAAGTAAGATATTTTTTATACAATCTGGGAAAGAAAATAAGACCATCAATTCGGAAAGAATGTTGAAAAGTGAGAACTACCGAGTATACCTTATTTAGCATAAGGATGGAGGTGTATTCTGATCGGTGCAGGGAGATTTATCGTGAGATTAGGGGTAGGAACTGTCAATTTTATGAACGGAGCATTGGAGCGCCCCCAGATCATCCCAAGACATTGCCAAACATTGTCATGGGAATCGTACTCTTAGCATAAAAGAAGTGTCAAAAGTTGGGGGAGGGGCACTCTCTAACTAGTGATCAAAATTACATTTGTTTGGGCCGCGTGCTCTCACATTAAGAAAAGTCTAATGTCCGTGGATATTAGGCAATTGGCAAATTGAAAGAGTGTATAATCGAGATATGACTCGAGTTCGATTTTAGATAACTCTTAGAGAAGAAACTTGACAAAAAATGACCTAATCTATTTTTGGTCTGAGACTTGATCTGAAAATGCTGGGTTTTAAACAAAGATTGTGTTGACCTGATCTGAAATTAATTACCATCTAAAAATGGGTCAAAACGACTGACTTCGAATCCGACCTGATCGGCTCACGTGTAAATTTTTTTCAAAATTTAATACCTTTATATGAAATATAATGTTATAAAAATAAGATTATTATAATTATATTTCTTTATTTACTACTCATTTTTAATGTATAAATTTATATTTTAACACAAAATTCAAATGATACCTCATAAATAATTAATTATATTACTTTTAAAAAAAAACTTTTGCATATTTATTTTTGTCATTCGTAATATTGACATTTAGTCATAAAAATTACTTAAAGTTTCAAAATAAGTAAAGGTTGTAACTCATTGAATCGACCCAAACCTGATGACACTCGACCATGAACATGTAACTCTTAACCCATAACCGAAGTGACTCGAATCCGAACCTGAGTTGCCCGTTCAATTTTCCAGCTCTAGTTGGGAGACTGCTAAAAATAAAGTCTCTGCAAGTATCAAATACATACTTAGCTTCATTCTTTGATATTAATCTACAATCAAAATTTAATAATTTATTTCATTTGAGTGACTCTCCCATCGTGTTTGAAGAAACTTTGGGAAAAAATCCAATGATTTCCCCTACGTGAAATGAAATTTACCATGGACGAAACATTGCTGTGTACGGTGGTAGGTGCGCGGCAGTGCGGGATGGTGCGTGTCATGATTAATTATTCCATAGCGATGGATTATATGATCCAATGTGACGCTTCAATGCTTCATGCATGCAAAAACAAACAAACATATTCTGCGCCCTATGCATGTGACGTCCCAATTTTTTTAGGTTAATGTTTGAGGGATTTCAAGATTCGAATGAATTTCACTTTTAAACCGGGCATCTTACATATACTCCTTCTGTCCCCTTTTAGATTACAATATTACCTTTTAGATAAAATTAAAAAAGAGTCATATCAGTATTTTTTTTCTCCAAATTACCCCCAAATAATATAAGAATGGGTGGGTGGGTGAGATTTTGACATTGAAATGATAAAGGGGATGAAGGGTAAAAGAATCCATTTAGTGTAAAAGTAAACACTTTGTAATTCTTTTTGGGACAAAAATAAGAGGGAATATTGTAATCTAATTGGGGACAGAAGTATTTAATTTACATACACGGAATAGTGTCGAACATCTATGAATGTCTGTAAATTTTGTAAGAGGGTGAGATTCAAATTTTGAGGTCAAAATAATTAATATTTTTCTTTTTTTTCTTGCCCAACACACTAGGGGTGGGCACGGGTCGGGACGGTTCGGGTTTCTTACAATCCCGCGTCCTGTCCCGTTATATTCAAACGGTTCGGAACGGTTCAAACCATAAGCCTATCCCACTTTATCCCATAATTTTCGGGACTGGGACAAAACGGAACGGATTCGGATTGCCCTACTTTTTCCTAATTTTAGGACAATAATGAAAATTGAAAACAAAAAGATTGAAAATAAATGCTACAACAATGTCAACAAGTATTTGTTGTTAAGTACTCAAAATGTTTCACGAGATACGTACGGAGTAATATATATATATATATATATATATATATATATATATATATATATATATATATATATATATATATATATATATATATATATATATATATATATATATATATATATGGGGTGGTTCAAGTGAGAATGCACATTGGTGAAAGAAATAAGAATAAAATCTAGCCTTTGGATCTGATGCATTGTACGGCTCAGATTGCATCTTGCACTCAGATTTTTAGATAGTGCATTTTTAAAGGATTTTGGTGCATTTCGACATGATGCATTTTTAAACCATTTTGGTGCACCTAATTTTGATGCAATCCTGACCCTTAGATCTCACAATCTAAAGCACCAAATTCATTCTTATTTCTTTCATAAGATTGCATTCTCACTTGAACCAATATATATATATATATATATATATATATATATATATATATATATATATATATATATATATAATGTTTTTAGAAGAGTATATAAAACGGGACAAACGGGATGGAACGGTACACTTATATGTTATTCCGGTAATGTCCTACTTAAAATCGGGACAAAACGGGTTCGGGGCAAAAAAACTTGAATAAAAAAAAAGGTACAATTTCAAAACGGTTCCGGCACGTTTCGGAACGGGTCAACGGGAACGGTTTTCGTGCCCACCCCTACAACACACAATAACTTATATCCTGGGATAATTTTGCCTACTGCACAGATAGCGTGAATGATTTTAAGCGAGGAATAATAAATCGAAAGTCTCAAAATAGAACATCAGCACTAGAGTGTAGAAGGTTTATATCCAATGTGACATCCCTTTTAGTTACATGCATCAGACATGAAACGAAGTCTCTAAAGATCAAACTTATACTATACCGTGATTTATCACTTCATTACTGCTATGTCCCGGTTGGGGTATAGTATCACTTTTTATATTTTAGCATTTACTTCCTGTGTCTTATACAAGTGTTCTTTTTTAATTTTTTTTCCAAAATAGATTTTTATTTGTCAACATTATCATATATAAAGTGCAACCTTCATCCCTAAGTATTTATCATGTTTGAACTTTTTACAATCAACTAGAATTGATATTTGACCTATAAAGAAATATAAAGTACATGGTATATTGATTGTATACACTAGAAAGAAATACCAGAGTAAGACTAAAACATTGAGAATATACCAAAATAAGACTTCCATGTTTTTATTACTGAAATAAGACTTAAAATTAAATGTAATTACATTACCAAACATGGTCATGTACATTACCAAAAAGTATAATAATGTACACATGTACAATGTCACATTACCACAGTGCCAAGTCCTATTTCGATAAAAAAACATGAAAGTCCTATTTTGGTACTTTTCTCTATGTTTTTGTCCTATTTAGGGTGATTTGTATATACACTGTTTCTGAGAAGGAGGTAATATGATCCAAAACATGAGTACTTATTTTTGTTTGAAACAAATTCTAACTTTCCTTTTTGTATTATTCAAATATAATTGCGGGTGACCCGGTCAATTATAAATTAAATCATAATTTTAAATTTCTCTAAATAAGTTTGTTTAAGATTTAGAAACCATGTCATTTTTCTAAGATTTCAAAATTCATATAATATAATATATCTAAAACTTACCAAACATGCCTTTAGGCTTAATGTCATTGTTCCGATTATAATGTAATATCTACTCATATTTTTCTCAATCTAATGAGGCATATTAATTCAATGCAACTTTGCCTTCATTTAAATTTGAACCCGAGTAATTTTCTTCATAAATCTTGAAAAGTATGCTAATACGGTTGTACCACTTAAGTCAAGAGAAAGTTTGACTTTTACACAAATAGTATCGATTCACTATAAACTTATTCATCATATTCTACTTTTACAATTTAAACAAGTTAAATGACAAAAAAATTTCAATAAATCCATAGAAAATCAAAATATAAGAAATGCTTTTAGGTAGCAATGGATCCGAGTATAGGGAATAGGGAGTATGCAATATGAGTAATAAGTTTATGAAATCATTTTAATGGAAACCTTTTACTCCATTTGTCCTTCCTAAACTTTCTTCCTCCGGTAACATTCAGATTAATAAGGTAATATTCAGATTTTGTAAAATATAAACACAATAGAGAATGAATAAATAAGGAATAATAATACTCAGTAACAATAAGAAACTTAATTATTAAAAGCAAACCCACAGTATTATTATGTTACGACGCGCGAATTAAAAAGTAGTGATCGCCGTCTTGGAGTGGAATAAGGGTCACACCCCATTCGTCGGTGAGGAGCGGCTCGCCGGAGGGACAATGAATCAGCACCGCGTCGTCGCCGAACGCCGCCTTCACGTTGAAATGAGCCGCCGCCGCAACTTCCAACGCCACCCCGCCGTTTATGAACACCGTCGCTCTTGCCGTCCCAGCATCCTCCGGGTAGCCCATCAGTCGAGCCAGCGAATCAATGCTCGCCGCCGCTGATGCCGGAGATTCATCCGGAGTAGAAGCGAACCCGCCGGAGGCAGCCGTATATGATGCGGAGAGGGGAAGCAGCGGCGGAGGAGGAGGAGGAGGGGGAGTTGGGTGTTGTTGTTGACCGTTCGGCTGCTGCTGCGGCGGCGGCGGCGGAGAGGTGGCGTGAGAGGTGTGGAGCTGCCGGAGTTTGTGTTTGGTTCTTGACTTTCTGTTCTGGAACCAGTAGAAGACGTTGGCGTCGGCGAGTTGACCGTACTCCTGGAGTTTGACTCGGATGCTCCGAATCTCGTCTCGGGAAGGGTTGACCATCCCGGAGTTAAAGATTGACTCGAGAATGCGTATTTGCTCCGGCTTCGGGTTCCACCGCGCCCTAGGCTGATCGGGAGAGCTCCGGCCGCCGTCCCGGTCTCCGGCGACGGCGTCACAGTGGGGGTGCCATGGGTTGGGCTTGGACCTGAACATGCTAGGCCAGTTTCTCTTTGACGACGGCGAAGAAGACATCTAATTAATCAAAGATGGAGTGGGACTCCCCTTATTAACTTCCTTTTATCTTCTTGACAACTCACAACACCACTTTCCCATCCTATTTATAATGGGTCGATTGACTAACCTTTTAGTTCCATACAAGACAAAATTTAAATACTCGGGGTATTATTCACTCAATTCCTCAAAAAGCTTTTAAATAGGCACATAAATTAAGAAAAATAAAATTGTGTACATGAAAGTGGTACTTGGCAAGAAAAAACAACATTGACCTATCAAAAAAATTTAAAATTATAAAATGAAGTCATTTTTTCAGATAGATAAAAAATAAAATAAAAATATTTTTGTGAGACAGAGGAAGTATATGCTTTTTTCAGGTAAAATAATCTTTTTAGTTTCATTTTAACAAAATTTAAGAAAAAATAGATGACTTATCTAATTTAGTTTTGACATTACAACTATTGAATAGGGAATAAGTAGTGAGGTGAAAACCCAAAATACCCTAGTAAATAAATTGATGTTTACTCTGGTAGAAAGGGGTATTCAAGCCAAACGTGGGGACACCTTGTAGCCCAAGATTAGGGGCCCATTTTAGTACAGTGGTCAGCCGAGGAGGCTGTCCTCGGCCTTGAATGGACCAAAAAAGAGTAGTGATGATTTCGTGGATTGTTATTCCAAGGTCATGTTCTCTTCACCTTGTCTAATAGTTCTTATTTGATAGTAATAAATTTTGATTTGGTCTGATCTGAATATAGTTATATTTAAAATTGTTTTTGATTTAATTTGATTTCAATAAGATAAGTAAGGGAGAAAATGTCCTAAGTCCAAAGTGGTTAGCCTTGTCTTCATTCAAGGGGGTCAGCCACAGTTCGATCCATTAAGGATTTACGCTACAAAAGTTGTGAATTAGGTTCGAGGAGGTAGTATAGAGGAAAGGCAATGGCGATGCAATTGCCTGCCATGCCACATTAACATGTGTCTCTCTTTGCCTTGCACGACTTCCTTGTTCCTCCACCCCGAGCGAAACGTGTCATGCGCGAGGCATTCTTCTCTTTTTTGAAAAAGAAGTAAGTTTTTATTAAAAAGGAGTAACTCTATTTTTATTTAAATAAAATAAAATAATTTTTTATATAATTAAAATATGTTTAAAAAGTGCATGTAATCAATGACTTGACGATGCACTCACTTACCACACATTGAATACTTCCTCCGTCCCAAATTATTTGCCACATTTGTATTCCCGAGGCAAAATATCAAGTTTTTTAATTCATTTTATTTACATATTGGTATAGAAATAAAAAATATAATTTACATATAAAAAAACTACATGAAAAGTTCTTCGAAATAAGAGGTGTCAAGAATATTTTATTTTATCAAATAACTAATGAAAATGTCGAAATAAACAAAAGTTCCCGCAACTGCTGAAAAAGCAAATGTGGTGAATATTTAGGGACGGAGGGAGTATGTTATTTTTTAATTAGTTAAAGTATTTTATGTCATAGTATAAAATTCTAATTTCGATTTGTCATTTCCAATGTTCTAAAGAGATAAATAGGAAGTGCGGTGTTGCTTAAAAAAAGTACTCCGTATTAATGAAAATTTGGAACGCCAAAGTGCTTGACGACTTCTATACTCAACCGCAACCGGCATGTTTGACACTTTACTTCATTCGATTCACGTGTCTATATGTGGGAAACAAATTAAAGAATGGTGCATTAAATTTGGGTACCATTAATTGTTTTGGTCCGCCCGATTCCGTCCGAGAAACCATGTTCATATCTAAAACCTTTGAGTTTTTACCATTTTAAATAAAAAAGGCTATGCTTATCTTCTATGCTTATGTACCAATAATATGTGAAATCATCTACTCCCTAAATTTCTCAATCAAAACCACCATTTTTTAGAAGTACACGTACATCATATGATCAGTTTTATTTGGGAACATCGTTTTCGATTAGCGTTAACGTTTAAAATGAAATTTTACTGGTATAGATTACGGAGTAATTCTGAAAACGATAACGCTAAAGGCTACCGTCGTATAGTTTTTTCAAAACGCTAACGCTAATCTATAACGCTGATGCCAAACGGGACCGACATCTTTTATTCTCAATTAGGACCACGATTTTTTTAAAATGCAGTGAGTACATGAACCCAATTGATGATATTGTTTATTATAATAGCAAAAACTCAGTTGAATCCCATAAAAGTATGGTCTAGAGATAGTGTGTACGCAGACATCACCCTCATTCGAAAATATAGATGTTGTTTCAAAAGAGACCCCAATTCAAACACTACATGTAATCACATACGTAACCTGTCTCTTATGTTTAAAACATACATATAGTGGTTGTTTCAAGATGACCCAGGCGTTGAAAGTTGTATTGACTAACTACTTCACTACTAAAAGAATCATAGATAGTTTAAAGAATTATTTTACTCTATTTCAGCTTGCTCTGAAGCCAAAAAGTAATGCAGTTGAGAAAAATTAGAAAAAATTAGAAAGTGTTAAAAATAGCATTCTAAATGAAAAATAAAAAAAATGGATGACATAACTCATTTTTTATGAATACAAATTTAATTGGGAGGATACATTAATTAATTACAGAGCAAAATAATCTCAATTTGTCCTATTTTTTTTCCAACAAATGTTAAGAAGTTACGCAGCAAGAAAATTCCTAAGGATTTGTTCTCTCATGAAAAAAAGCCAGAAGATAATATTTTGGATAATTTAGCTAATTAAGTAAGTCAAAGTGTTTCTTCTAAATGAGATGTCAGATATCTCTTCAATTCCAGTAAAAATAATGTTGCCTCTTTTTAGTTCGCAAAATGTTTATTTAATTTTAACTTTTTATAGCCCAACGTTATTAACTTAACTTAATTGTGGCCCAAAACTCACAAATTACAGTAAAGTTGAATTATACACCACAGTGAAAGATTAAATTATTTTTGAAAGACAGAGTAAATTTTCCTAAAATATTTCAATGAGAGAGTGAAAAATATATATTCAAAAAACAAATACTTGGTCCGTCCCTGAGTGTTTGTCCACTTTTGACTTTTGGAACTGTTCATCTAAGCACTTTGACTCATCAAATTCTTTCAATGTGTAAGCCTAAAAATAGTCATGTGTGATCTTCTTTGATTCGTCTTAACATATAGATTATTAATATATATTTTTTATATTTTTTTAATATACAAATTACAAGATAAAATGGATTAAAGAAGTGCATTGGATGGTGTGCAAAAATGAAAGTGGACAAACACTCAGGGACGGAGGGAGTACGTAGTACATGAGAATGAATCAAAGGGGTAAACATATAGAAATTCTTAAGACGTTGGGGTGGCAGAATCTTTTCTTCCAACCCCATGTATTTTCCCCCTCTCCACACCAATAGATCCCATTTTCTCCATAGCCAAAGCAAACTTGGCATGGAACTTCTTCTTATCCTTGGCCAACATTTGGACCAAAGGCCTACTCCTCCTATCCAAAAACAGCACCTGATCCGAAGCCAGCAACCCCATCTTGGCCTCCAAGTTCCCGTAGTAAGCGTTGTCGAGCACGAAAGGGGTTTTGACATCAAATGGGATCATAACATCGGCATTCCCCCCGAATTTCGGGCAAGACATTCTTAGGGCTTTAAGAAGCCTAGGGTCCATCATCGTTGTCGATGAATGGCGTGTTTGGTTATTGGTGCCCTTTATGGAGTAGTTATAAAGTCTACTCACGAATTGCTTGCAATGCGCGAAACCGATGGAGTGGGCCCCGGAGAGGACAACCAAGTCCTCCAACGATAGCCCTTTCGAACTGAAGAGTTTGAGAAGCTGGTCGAGCGTGGAGTTGGCTCTCGGAAGGTTTGGTTGAACCCTTGAAGCCATGGATGTATTTCCATCTTGCCTTCCTTTCTTCACTTCGTAGTATGGCCCTCCTACCTGTCATTTGAAACATAATTTCTTTTTGGGCGTGTTAGAATATACTCCCTCCGTCCCATAAAACCTTTCTCCTTTCTTTTTTTATCCGTCCCACTAAACACTTCTCATTTCTATAAAAAAGTCACTTTTACTCCTTACTTTTTCATACCCTAACTATCATATCATACCTTTTTACTAATAATCTATCTATCAAATCATACTTTTACCCATCACATCAAAGGACATTTTTGGAAATTCAATACCAAAATACAATCCCCTTAAATTCTTCCTAAAAAGCAAAAGTCTCATGTTTTACGGGACGGAGGGAGTAAGAAATATTTTCTGGGCTACAGCCACAAGCTTGAGTTTCTGGTTGAGTTGGCTCTTTAACATGGTATCGAGCCTTGTTGACTAAGAGGTCACGAGTTCGAAACTCAGCGCCACCCAGTTTGAAAAAAATTAAAGTTCCACGTGCAAGGCTTGAAAAAGACTACGTCCCACGCAAGGGGCGTGTTAGAATATATAAGAAACAATTTCTGGGACACAACCACAAGCTTGAACTTTTGGTTGAGTTGGTTCTTGACAGAGCATATATTTTTGTGATTAATTAAATAAAAATAAGAAGGATTTGGAAGGTTGAATTGGTTACAAGGTGAACAAAATCTCTGGCGGCAATGGCGAGGATGTCGGCGCAGGACACGGCGGAGGCCGGGCAGTTGGTTTCCACCGCTGATTTGACCTCAGTTATGGCATCAAAAGCATATTGTGAAAGGTCCTTGTTTTCCTCTGCATCTCTCTCTGCCATTTCCTTACTTGGTATCAATATTGATGCGTCACACCCCTTAACACATTTCAAATAAAATGTGGCTATAATGTGTTGTTGGAACTTGTTTGGAGAGAAACATTTTGGGTTATGTTACAAATTTGTTTCCAAAATGGAAAATGTTAAGTGCAAAAATATGATCAATTTTTTCATAATGAATAGAAAATATTACCTTCCTCCTAGTGCTTTCTTTAGTTTGATTTTTTCCATTTAAACGGGATAAATTTTGAATTTTAATTACCTTTAATTTGTATTGTATATTCCCTCCGTCCCGAAAATGATTATATTTTTTTCTTTCTCCCATCGATAACATTGCTTATGCGTATGTTTTGATTGATTATTTACATTATTAATCCCGCAATTATTGGGTTATAAGGTGATTCTTCGAGTCATTATTTGGCAGTGGATCATCAAAAATAAAATTTTTATGTCACCTCTTATTTTGAAATAATTTTTAAATATGTAAATTTTATTTTTAAATTCTATACAAATATTTAAAAAATTAAAATTTTACTTTACTTTGGGTAAAGTGTAAATTATTTTAAAAAAGAGGAAGGAGTGTACGTAAAAATTAGCGAAAAAGTCAACTAGAAAAATATTCAACGGCGGCAGAGGAGTAAACAATTACGTACTTGGACAAAGCAGTCGTGGAAGAAGAGGCGAATGGTGGCGGGTGCGACCGCCGGCGCTCGTTTGTACTGCTTGGTGGTGACGGAGGCGACGATCCGATCCAGGTGAGGGCATGATTCGGCGTAGAAGTCGACGGAGAACTGCCGCGGCGAGGGCAGCCGTGTGCCGGAATTCGGTTTCCGATTGGCCTGAGATGGGGAGGAGAGGAAGAGGACAAAGAATACAAATGGAGTGTAAGAGATTGACATGGCCGGGTGAGTAAATTGGACAAAGAAAATACTCTCACACAGAGTCTGAGTGTGGGTGTCAAATGCAGGATGGATGGACCAGAAATTGCCCATTTTGGAATGGAGAACAACCACCCGTGATGCCTAAAATTCATACCCAATGACACTTGATTTAATGGATGTTTACAAGTACGAATGCTTACATGATTTTTAAATCTATATTTAAAATGTAAATGTTTTCATATTTTTTATAGACTTGTATTGGGATGTTTTATATTTTGTAAAAAAACTCATTTCTTTTATATTACAATTTAAAAGTGCATCAAAGTCTATAAAATAAGCATGGATCTTAAGCCCACGAAAGGATTTTCTCACAAACAAAACATTCACAAGTTTAGTAAATTGCCAACCCTAGCCCACACCCTTCAATCGGACCCCTTAGATTTAGTTGACTATGAGATCAAAATTTTGACCCCAAAATTGAGGGGTCCAATTAATGAGGATAAGGAGTGAGTTTGGATCGGCTGGCGAGGGAGGTTTACCAAGAGATTTAGAAGCGAAAAGAACTGTCAACTTTACAAACGGAGCAGCACCCCAGTGACAGCGTAATGACACCGTTGCCCAGTAAGAACAAAACCAATCCGAATAAATATATGATGTGAATATAGTAGGAGTATATTTTTATGTATATTCTTTTTCCTTGTTATAATAGGATTCCTTAGTCATGAGATTCCTATACATGTGTAATATCTTGTACTCCTTTATTCAATAGCATAGAAAATTTTCTACTCAATTATCTTTTCCTAACTCTTAAACACTAAAACAATTCTTGGTAACTTAAAATACTCTAACTCAGTTTTTGGCGAGGGTGCCACCATTAACCATCCACCGGATCTTTGTCCTTGTTCTTAAGTTCCAAATTCTCTTGTCATACCAAAATCAAACAAAAAAATTTCTCTCTAATAATCCCTTCCCACCCAATCGCCCATCCTTCATCTCCAGCATCAATCTGATACTATACGGTCGAGGAACCGAGGGCAACGGAGCCAATGCACGAGGTTACGAGACGGACGGGGACGCGGGCTAGGCATGCCCCGGGTTGGCAGAAGGAATTCGAGATGTATTAAACTTTTATTTATCAACTTTATTTAATTATTGTATCGTAGATTTTGTTAGGTGAGCGAATTATAAGCTTCTTCGATGGTTTCTTTACGGTTCTTTACCTCGTCGCTTTTCTTGAACCGTCAGGTTAGAAAACGTAGTTTTAGGAATAGGGTTCTCTATTTAAGTAGAGGTGCATCTCTACACAACTCTCAAGAAATAACAAAACCCTAAACCCTATCTCTCTCTCTCTCTCTTTCTCTATTGTACGTACGGCACCTCGCTGGCGGCCTTTCCCCGTCACATCTACCTCCTACGAGTCCGAAGACGCTCTGAGTCTTTCCCTTTCGATACGGAACCGTATCTCAATCCCTTCCACACCGGAGGCATCTCCCATCTCCCCAAACCCAACCACCATTCAATCTCAACAAACACTATCATAAATAATATCATAATTATTATTGTCTAACACCATTTGATATACAATATTTGTATACTTACATTTTATAGAAAAATAAATTAGAACATCCAGAACCATTCCGAAATGTCCCAAACCTGAAATGAATAGGACAGAATGACAACATCGTGTCCCGTACAGTTCTGCAACTAGTGTTACCAACTTGGTTGAGAAGGGGTACAATGAGATCCTCGACAAAAATTGGGTTTTGAACCATGAAATTTATGGGTGAGCAAGTACCAATCCGATCTCAAAATTTTCTGAAAAAAATTGAACCGATAGAATACCGCAAAAGAATCAAACCTTACCAAATCAAACGGCCATTTCGGTATTTAATTTGGTGTGGTACGAGGTAACTTCTCATACCATAAATTCCAAACCGAGCATATATATACGAATAATATATTATGAAATAATAATCTTTTTACATTTATTCATTAAATACTACATTTATTATGAAAATTTGGTTTAAGCTTCCTTATTATAAAGTTATACTTTAATTTAATTTTAACTTTTTGTAGATGAGTATAAAAATATTAACAAACAATTGAAATACTATTTTGTTATTATTCATTCTCTTTATTTTGTGAAACACAAAGTGAGTGGCATAATCATTTCATGCATTTAATTTTTTATTTTTAAATTTTTTATCTTTCTTTTTTTAAATCTATTTTTGATTTTTCAAAAATAAAAGATTTTATTACATTTTAAAGTGTAAACTATGTACATTTATATTCATCCGGATACGTATCGAAACCAATACTGATGCATCTCGAACCATACTAAATCGATACTTCGAGATTGATACGACATACAATATTATATGGAGTATCGAACTAAAATATTTGGTACAGTACCGGTATGAGCTAAATACCATATCATATAGTACCATGCTCGCCCTAATGAAATTCTTATAATTTAATTATAGTTCAAAATTATCAATTTTAATTGGGAAAGATTAAAATTAGACGAATACTATAAGACAAATATAGTATATTGTTGGTAATGTTAACATGATATGTTCAGAGGAGAAAATAAGTATTTTTAAAAAGGAAGTGAGCATTACACAAAATTTAAAGCTTTTTTGCAAGTAAAATGAACTCAATGATAAGGAACGGAAATACGTACCATAAAACAAACTAAAATCAATCCTCCCTCTATCATGAGTTTATCTTCATGTTCCAAACAACGAGTAAAATTTAATATTTTATAAAATAAATTTACATAAAAATTGATGTGGATATAAAGAATATAAATCACACATTTAAATTTTTTATCGGTAATTAATGTAATTAATGAAAATGAACATACAAGTAAAAAGTATCAAAATTCTAGAATAATAAAAAAAAGTTTTGAACGGAGGTAGTATTATTTAAAATAATAATGGAAATATCATTGAAAAATATTGTGAATGTACACACTGGTGGACGATAATCGTGGGTATGATTCGTCAAACGAAATCGATACGGTAGGAGTAAGTAGATACCGTAAGCTCTTTGGTATTTTTGGCCTATATAGAAACGTTATAAAGCAAATATCAACCGGTCCCGTAGCTCAGTTGGTTAGAGCGTTGGTCTTATGAGCCGAAGGTCGCGGGTTCGAGCCCCGCCGGGACCAGCGACAAAAGTTTTCATTTTTTAATTTTATTCCATACTCCGTTTTAATTTGGGCTTAGAAAATTAGGTTCTTCTGGGCCAGAAGATCCAATCCTTTATTAATTTTTTGCGTTACAGGCCCTCACTTATGAGCCCGTATTAATTAAAACTACGGACTATTTCCGCTCCTTATATTACTCACAAATTGAAATTAGGAAAAATTGATATAAATACTCCCGGAAATTTGAAATTTTACAATAATACTCCCAAATTTAATAAAAGACTCTGGTGCTCCCAATTAAACTATAAATTTACATTACTACTCCCACTATGCCTAATCAGCTTTTCTTATGCTTACATATAAGTAATTATGCTTAGTTGACATCTTAGTTGTTTTTTTTTGCTTTAATAAGATGAAAAAATTATATAAATACTCATAGAAATTCAAAATTTTACAATAATACTTCCAAAATCAAATAAAGACTCCAGTTCTCCCAAAAGTATATTTTCGTTGCATGTTACTATATTTGACTGAAATTATTTTTAAAGTATTTTATATGAAAAATGGTGTGAAATTAAAAAAATAAAAATTACATAATAAAAAACTAATATAGTAATATGTAAAAAAATTTTTTAGTAATATTAAAGATTAATTAATTGAGCTTAATTGGCATCTTAGTTATTTTTTATATTTTAATAAAAAATACCTCCTGCGTCCAAAAACTATCTTCTCATTCAGTATTAAGAGTATTAACAAGATCAAATTTTATTTACTTTGCTTACCTATTTTAATTATATATTTGATAAAAAAATATAATTATATCATTACTAGTTTTATAGATCTTATGGTGTAGTTTTTAGATATATAATTTTATTTTTTGATTTTACACCACTTTTATTTAACATCGTAACACGTAAAACGAAGATATTTTTTAGAGTACTGGAATCTTTATTTAGTTTTGAGAGTATTATTGTAAAATTTTGAATTTCAGGGAGAAGTTATATAATTTTTTCTCTTATTAAAACAAAAAAAACAACTAAGATATCAACTAAGCATAATTACTTACATGTAAGCATAAGAAAAGCTGATTAGGCATAGTGGGAGTAGTAATGTAAACTTATAGTTTAATTAGGAGCACCAGAGTCTTTTATTAAATTTGGGAGTATTATTGTAAAATTTCAAATTTCTAGGAGTATTTATATCAATTTTTCCTTGAAATTAATAGCCTGTTAAAGAGTCCCAAAACTCCCCATTACTTTTTTTTTACTTCCAAATCCACTATATTTCTCTACCTTTTCGGAGTTATGCTTACTTACATGGTTCTAATGTTTACATTTAGAAAGTGAATATTTTCATATTTTTCATGGCCTTACATATGTATATTTTCATTTTTAAACATGCCACTTTTTAAAACTACAAATGTACAGAGATCCATATAATGAACGTGGACCTTAGATCTACAGAAGAATTTGCTTTAATTTCGTGCTTTAAATTAGCTCTTAGATAAATTAAATTTTTTAATCCTAGTATTCTTAACTCGTGCAATACACAAGATGAAATGTTTTTTTTTATTTTGCAACTTTTCTTTCCCAAAACATTTTTCAAAAATTAAACGACATAAAATATCGACTTTAAAAAACAAAATGATGATAAAATATAGGGAGTATAATATTTACTAATAAAAATTCTACACATACATTTGAAAATGAACATGTCAATTCTAATTTAAATTATAATATTTTGAAAAACTTAGAGGTATAGAACCTTTTTGGTGAAGTTGTAAAGAGTACTAGAGACATCTAAAACTAAGATTTTCAACCTTTAACTCAAGAAACAAGAATATGGAATTAGAAAATTTTTGATGTGATCTTAAGGCCCATGCTTATTATATCGACCTTAGTGCATTGGTATAATAAAAGATTGGGTCTTTTGCAAAAAAAAATCCTACTTGCGATCCCATGAAATGTATGAGAAAGTACATATTTCACGCATAAACTTTAGGACCACGGAAGAACTACTCATAAAATTTACTTCGAGTGAATACTAACTTGGTAAATCATTTAATATAATATTTAAGATTCTGTTTGCAAGAAAGCTGCCATGCGTCAACTCTGTGTGGAATATATTAAAGTGAGATGACAAACCTTTATTGTTTGCTTATGTGACAAATTTTATACTGAGTTGTAAAAAAATATCACAGTTTAGCAAAAAAAATCAACCTACGACTTTTTTTTAGAACGAAAAGGGAGTACTCGAGTACTAAAGTGGTCCGGTCCAACTTTCCCAAAACAAACAGAAAATTTGGGTAAAGTAGAATCATTCTAACGGAGTACTTCCTCCGTTTCATAAAGATATTCTTGTTTTGACGTTAAATTTAAGGGAGAGATAAATTTGTGTTGACTTTCCAAAAATACCCTTGATGTGATGAGTAAAAATATAATGTGATAGGTAGATTAATAGTAAAAAGCTATAATATGATAGCCAGGTTAAAAATTAGTAGGAATAAAAGTGGTTTTATAATAAAAGAGGAAGATTTTGTAGAAGAAAAAAAGGGAGGGGAAGTAGTCTTTGAGATGGAGGGAATATTATTCATCTTGCTCCATTTACGCGTTGGGAAAACTGGTTCTAACTGCTTTTAGAAGTGGGAAAGCGTGCTGTATTAGCAGATGTTTCCACGCCCTACAACTAACCCTTTTTTATGCCTTCTTCCCCCTCAAATCTCCTCTTATTATTCCTTCCACTTTACTCATGTCTTCCTCTGTATAGTATTTCCCTGGTATGTCTATTTTTTTGCTGTTTTTTTTCTTCTCCAAATTGGGAAGAAATTAATAATCTGTACTTCATTTTGGGGAAACGGTTGTGCAGAGAATACATTTATTATGTGCAGGGGAACATATACCTAATACCTGCGGTTATTGCTGGCTATGGCTTCTAAAGAATGGCTCAAGAGGATAATCAGTTTGAAGAAGGACAAAGAGAGGAGAAGCAAAAGGAAAGAGTTAATTGGACCTCCTAAAATAAGGAATCGCATTTCGAATGTGAACCCAATAATCGTTTGTATCCCGGTTGAACATATTGCCGCAATACGGATCCAGAAATCATTTCGCGGGTTCATGGTATGATGAACTAGTTAATCGATTGGATTCAATATTTTAATACAGTAGTGATTCGTCAGTTCCAGTATTTGGATTTGGAACCAAATGTTGTGTTAATTTCCCTCTTGCAGGCTAGGAAAGCTTTACACCGGTTAAAACTGGTTGCGAAGATGAAGATGCTGAGGGAAGGGAATCTAGCAAAGAGGCAAACATCAATAGTGTCGAGCCATCTTCGTGTGTGGACTCATTTACAAACGGAGATTAGGGCTCGGCGTGTTTCTATGGTAGTAGAAGGCCACCTCCGGCGAAGGAAGATTGAGAACCAATCAAAGCTTGAGGAAAAGCTTCAGAGTTTAGAGGTTAGACACAAGTTTTCTGACCTCTAGGTCAACAAGATTCTAATATCATGTCAAAGAAACGAATTCAACCAAAAGCTTTTTGACAGGTGGAGTGGAGCGGTGGGCCTGAATCGAAGGAGAAAGCGCTTGCAAGGATACATCAACGAGAAGAAGCTTCCGAGAAGCGAGAGCGTGCCTTGGCATATGCATTTTCCCATCAGGTTTTGCTTTTGTTGGTCACTAATGAGTAGTACAAAAAAACTTTTACAATGTGTCTTAACACAGAGTTTTGATGCAGTGGAGGGTCAACTCCAACATGATGCACAAATGGAGTGGCCTTGAACTCGGGAAGACGAGCTGGGCCTGGACGGATCGTTGGATTGCGTCCCGGCCATGGGAAAGCCGAAAAGGCCCAAACAGGCCCATTAAAGGAAAGTCAACTACAAAACCACGCAGACGCTCCCATGGATCAGCAGAGGAGGACCAAACATGAGAAGCTAAACTTGTTGTTCTGAAGGCCCTCTGCATTTTTGTGATTTCTGAATGTTTCCATTTTTTACACTTGAGATGTTCTTTTTTTTTTGATGTATTACTTGGTTATTAATACTGCTAAACGACACTGTAAACAGCTAATAGATTTGCAAAACTATACTTAATGAATCGTGAGGGCTCAACACTGTCTAATTTGTGAAATTTGCACCAAGTAATACTTAAACATATGTCATTTTCTAATGTAATACTTAATGAGTGGTGAGGGCTCAACACTGTCATTTTCTACGCGCAGTCCAAAAAACACATACTTATTGCTTGATCAGAAATCATCGGAAGATAGGGTTTCAGGCCCGCATCCGTGCTTCTTGAGCTCCTCGACCACCTCAGCGAAGACAAGAGCGTTCCCAGCACGTGCCAGGTGCAACCCGTCGCTCAAGCAAGCCGTCTCCCAGTCCGGGACCCGCTGAACTTTGGTCCATAGGTCGACGGATGGAACCCCGAGCTCTGTCGCGACTCGGAGACATGCTTGGGCATAAGCTCCTGCGGCTCCGTTTGTCCTTTCGGGTAGCCCCGACGTGTTATTCCCGTACGGGTTTCTGCGAAATTGTACACAAGAAAATCATACTCCCTCCGTTTTACAAACCCTTCCTCTTTCGTTTTTTTGCTTTCCACAAAACACTTCCACTTTCTATTAAAAAACCCCTTTTACTCCTACTTTTTCATAGCCTACCTATCACATCATACTTTTTCACTAATAACCAAATATCACATCTTACTTTTTTCTCATCACATCAGGGGCAAAATTGGAAAGTCAACCAAAATTACACTTTCCTTATTTTTCCCTAAAGTCAAAACAGGAAGGGTTTTGTGGGACGGAGGGAGTAGTTAATTAAAAGCAGCGTAGGAGATGAATAAATGTTTGGAATGAGGTTTTGTATACATACAGAATGCGAGCTGCTTCACTAATTGGAGGTGGAGATAGGAGGATCACTATCGCCTTTGGCCATTGTTTCTGTGCACATAAAAGAATAATGCTAGTAGAACTGCAACTCTTTCTAATACATACTCGGTGCTTAAAATAGAATTGATGTTAAAATGTCAATAACCACTTATTGATGACATGTTTACTTATTTGGCCGAATATTTATTACTCCCTCCCTTTAAAAATGCGTAACACTCTCTGAACAATGTGCAAAATATTTTTATGTTTGAAATTATTTTTACTTACAAATTGGTATAAAAATAAAATTTATAAATTACGACGTTCAAAACTACAAAAAAATCTATAAAATCAAAGACAACAAGAATATTTTATTTAATCAAACAATTAATAAAAAAACATACAAACGAAAAAATGATCGAGATGTCATAACAGTAACAAGCCCAAAGGCATTCATTTTGGGATGGAGGGACTAGTAACTTTGCATAAACACTCCCAAGAATTTGCAAATTTTAGGATATTAACCTAAATGCAATTAATGACATTATATATCTGGTTCGCTTTTTGAGTTTAATTTGACCCGCAATATCTCTTAAAATATACTCCTTATTGGCAAAAAGGATATTAAAAATAATACATTAAAAATGTTTTTTGATACCAATAATTTAATTTCTTATAATCTTTATTACTTAACTCATTGTATATTCTTATACTCTCTCTACCCCAAAATATGTTTACACTTCACGCAAAATGAAACAAAATTTCTAGTTCTTTCAATTCATTTTTCTTAAAGATTGGGTAAAAATAAAAATAGAACATACTATATAATTAAAAACTAATTCAAAAATACTACAAAACAAAAAGTGACAAGAATATTTTATTTTATGAGGTAATATTCAATCAAAACACACAAGAAAAAAAAAGTCTATACCTTGAAGAATGAGACAATGGAGCGCAGGTTCTGCTCGTACTCCTCAATGGGGACGTGGGAGAAAGAAGACGATCTATCCGGGAGAGCGGCGTCGTTGGCACCGAAGAACACCGTCACCGCCAGCGGCTCCGCCGGGAACGCCTCCGTGTTTAGTATCCCCAAAGCGCGGCGGGTGTTGTAACCGCTGTAGCCTCTCAACACCACATCAGCGGTGCGGCGGAAGTGGTTGACGAGGGAAGCGCCCCAGCCGCCGTCCTGGAAGGACATCTCGGTGATGGAGTCTCCAAATAGGTAAATCTTTGGCCTCATTTCCCTCAAATTAGTCTTTTCTTAGGATGTAATAAGGTTATAAAGTGTACGTGGAGTTCGATTTAAAATGCCTCAAACGACTCCTATCCATATATACTACTCAGGTAGTAGAATAGGTTATGAGATTGTAGTAATAAGGTCTTAAACTCATGCGAGCAATAAATATGCATCCAACAACGTAACTCGATCGTTGTCTTTGGACGATTCGTTCCCTAATAAATGAAGTATGGCTCCGTTTCTTACACGAATTCAAGCCGTGAAATTGGAATTGAGAATTCCAGTTTCAATTATAGTGTTTGGTATTAGGTAGTGCAAAAAATGAATTGGAATTGGAGAATTCAATTCCATAGAATTCTGAAGACCCAGTAATCCATCAATAGTCTCCCACTCCTCGTGCCTTAAATAGTTTTAAATTGATGATTTTTAACATTTTTTGTCCTTTTCTTAGACCTCGGAATGCTATGTTTCTTTTCTCAATTGTGGAAGCCTTTTATGGTTGTTGAGGGATGAGTTATTGAGGTACTCTTCTTGTTCCTCTATATCCCCTCTAGGCTTTAATTTTGTTTTGATTTGCTTTGAGTATTTATTGATTCTACACAAGAGAAAGATAAGAGAGACTAATTTTTAAGAATAAGTAATTTGAGAGAGGAAAAAGTAGCTTAAGAATACGTGGGTAGAGAAGAAGATCCGCTGGTGAGATTTTGATATGGTAACAATTCAAGGGGAGTTGCATATCTGTCACCGATAATTAACTTTGTTTTGCGGCAAGAGTTGGATTCAAGGGAGACAGTGGTAATTAGGTTTGGTAAAAATGAAAGGCAAGAATAATAATCAGAAATAATTTTCACCTCAACCATGGCTACGTCTCTAGATTTATAGAGACGAAAAGTCATGATTAGACAGACACATATGTTTGGGTGAATTATGTGTTCCTGCACCGGAACAATGCATGCGGGTTGGCTTATTTTCTGACGTTTGAATTTTGAACCTTTTGGATTCTTGCTGGGGGCTGCCGCCCCTTGGACCCTGCTATGAATTTATAATATCGTTGAACGAGCGTGTAATCCGCACCTCCTAACTCGTTTAACAACGTCTATTCAAATTCCCGTATGGTCTAAACAAACCCAATTACATAAAATAGAGATGACACTAAAATCACGAATAGACATGCGAGCGCCAATTTATGGAAGTAGAGATGCCGGCGATTTGGAGATGTTTCTAGAAGGGCATGGCAATGTTCCCGGTCGGCATCTCTCAAACCAAACGTTTGTTTTTATTTGTTGATTCGTTGGTCTAGATTGGCAATCCTTGAACACGTACACCCTTGCAGCTAGAGATTTTGTTTTTGGTACAGACTTGCGGTAGTCAAACTAGGCCACTGGCCACTGATTTTTTGGCGTTAGAAAATGGCAAATTGCCGGTCAAAGAAGAAGTTTTGGCGGTAGAGACAAGTGAAGATGCTGATGGAAGAAAAGCTAATTTTTGCCATCAGAGACGACTGCGTTGGCAGTCACGTCGACGGCAAGAAATTGGAGTATGATGCCTACTAGACTTCAGATATGGGTTGGGTGCTGCTAACGGTGATCCAATATGGTGGATTTTTATTTGATTGGGGAGGTATCCTTTTATTATTCAGTAAGATCAATTATTATTATCAAATTGTACGAGGAGACACCGATGATAACATAAAATAAAGTGATCGAAAAAAAGGATTCGCAAGAATTTTGGTGAGGAGGATCGGAATAGGGTGAAGTCGTCTTTTGAATCATTCTAGTAATAGAAGCTAACTAATAACTCAATACTGCTATAAATAATACTCCCTCCGTCCCACAAAAAAGTTCTCATTTTGACCATAAATTGGTCAAACAGTTACACGCTTTGACCATAAATTAAATATAATATAAATAAAGAAATGTTTAAAAATTTGAGATATCAAAACTAGATCCTAAGATGAATCCAATTATATTAAATTTATTTAATAATTCAATATACCTTTCTCACATTTTGTAGTCAAAGCGTGTAAATATTTGACTAAATACTATTCAAAATGGGAACTTTTTTGTGAGACGGAGGAAGTACTATTATTATTATCTAACATTTCCTCTCAAGCAAGAAAAAGCTTGGATATTAGATTACGGAGTATTAGTTAGAAACTGGAAATGGTGTGAAGGTGAAGGTTGTATTAGAACATAATGTATTTATATCAAAACTATTGATATTTTATTTATATTAAAACATATTCTACTTTTTTCATATACTGAAGTCAAACCTTACAAATTCTGACAAAAAAATTAAATGAAACGATAAAGAGTATTTTAAAAAAGAAAGATCTTTATTTAGGGTACATAATATGAAATTGGGAGTATTTTTTTTAGGAAAAATATTACTGTACCCCAAGATGATGTATCCCAAATGTAAACCACCTTCTGACAAATACATACAAACAGCCATAGTCTATGTGAAACATAGACCCTGGATCTCTATGAGAAAGTGTGTGCACATAAAGCACACCACCTTGTGGTGCATCTAGCAAATTCCATTTTTTTATTAAAAAAAATCCAAAGTGATAACCCTATTTTGGAAGTGGTGGATTATATAGGGCCTCATTCCGACCCTTCCGTTATCGCTCATTCTCTCTCCCCATAGGCTCTTCAAACCCTTGAGACTCCAAGGAAATAGGAATCCCTTCCCCATCGGCAATTATAATAATAATAATATAATGTGCGGCGGAGAAGACGGCGGATGCCGGCCGTTGGGGTTTCTTTTAGGCCTTCCGTTCGCCTTCATCTCCCTTCTCCTCTCTCTCGTCGGCGTCGTCTTATGGATCCTCGGGTCGGTTCCTGTTTCCAATTCTTTTTTACCCGATTTTGTTAAATTTATTTAATGTTAATTCTATAAATTAAAATTTGTTGCGAAATTAAATTCCAATCGATACTTCGTTCGAGAATTATTGCCAATTGATCTATTGTCCTATGAGGATTTATCCAAATTGATCTTTCTTTTTTCTTTTCATGTTCTGGAGAGTTTCTTTTTTTTAGATTTAGTTTTTTCATAATTTGATTCGGTGGTTGCAGGTGTATGGTAACATGCGTGTGCCCGTGTTGCGTTTGCGTGACGTGGATAATCGATGTGGCGGTGGCATTGATCAAGGCTCCCTTTTTGATCATCGTCTGCTTCACAGACAAGATACCATGTTAGTTATGGTGTGCTTCGTAACATGTAATTCCCCCTCTCTGCTGTCTACCCCATTATTCCTTATGTTTATGTATGACTCTTACTCTTAGTTTATGCGAGTACATAATACCAGCAGTTTTTGTTTTAGTTATTTTTTAAAAAAATTTTTATTCACATTTTAGTACATTCCATTAGTTCAAATATACAAGCAGTTGAAAAACAAAGACAAGCAGTAACCTGTCATGGTTGAATTTTCCTTCATTGTCACCGATTGTCTCCCTCAATTCAGAACCAAATGGTGCACTCGAGATTGAGTATTTTAACACATTTCTCTGCACATTTTCATATTTCTTCCTTCCGTCAAAGGTGACTTTTACGTTATTTCTTGCGAAGACGTTTCAAGACGATTCATAGAGGAGAGATGACGCGCTGACGGTGTCATTAGGCATGCACCCAATCAGCATCCAGGCTGGATGTTAACCACCAATATACCTTGTAATGGGCTAAGATATTATTGGTGAAAAGGTGCTACAAGTTCATGCATATTAATTATATATAGGTTATGAAGTTCAGGTACCAAACTAACCTAAAACTCAAGTAAACCTAACTAACCTGGAACGCCAGACCAGGCATTGTGGGAATGGTGAAGGGGTGTAGCTTATGTATGTCCCAAAAAGACTTCTCGAGGGATTAAATCATGCTACATGGTGATAAATAGGAACTCATGTGATCCCATAAAGTTTTATACACAACCCTGTTTTGGACAACCAAAAAAAGTTTAAACTTTTTTTTTATTCTCCCTTTTAGTAATGAATATATGGTTACTCACAATTTTTTCTCTTCTAAATAAATCCTATTCCTTACATCCAAATTTAAACTATCTCATCTGTTTACTATTCAAATGGTCAAACTCTAACCTCGTTTTTATCTATTTCACTACCCATTTGATAAAAAAAAGTCTTATCTCCCCTTATTTTGTGGATATTATAATGTAATTTTAAATATGTCAGTTTTATTTTTTATTTGCATACCAAATTCATAACTAAATTGAGCTGAAACAAATTTTAGTCAAACCTCGTAAATAATAACATACGGAGTATGATTTAAATTAGGATGGAGGAGTAATTACATATTTTCTCCATCCAAAAAGACTCCTTATTTTCTTTTTGGTACATCCCAAAAAAAACTCCTTTTTCTTTTTATAGAAAAATTTGAGTGTCTTACAATCTCTCTCTTTTTTGCATCACTTTCAAACATATATTTTTACTCTTCTTAAATTTTGTGTCTAGTCAAACTGAGAACTTTTTTTTGGACAAAGGGAGTACTTTTTATCCTTCAATAACTTTTTAAATATTTGTAAAATCAAACTCTTAGACCATCTTAATTAATACGGAGTACAAAGATTATGAGAAGCTACTTAACTTTAAAAAGTTTAAGTAGAGTTTATATATATGGAGTCTAAGTGAAACATAAATTATTTAATTTATCAAAGAAATTGCTTAGGAAAATAACAATTCCTTAGCTACTAACTTTCTTTAAGCAACTACACTAAAGTTGTTCTTAGTACTTTAATACGTGTAGGACGGAGGAGTAATGAATATAAATACTTCTTCCTTTTTAAAGTGGGGTATTCTTTGACCATAAATTAAATATAGTTTAAAATAATTAAAGATTATAAAAATTTGATATTTCAAAACTATATTTTGAAATAAATCTAGTTTTACTAAATTGAAATTAGAAATAAATATACTTTTTTCTATGATTCACGTTCAAAAAATACTACTCCATCCGTTCTCAAAACCAATTCATCTTTCATTTTTTCTATTTCCAACAAAATACTTCCACTTTTTATTAAAAAACCACTTTTACTCTTATTTTTTCATACCCTACCTATCATATCATATTTTTTCTCTAATAATCTATCTATCACATCAATGACAAAATTGGAAGTTAACTATAATTTAATACTTTCTTATTTTTATACTTGGTTAAAGTAACAACCAGGGCCGGCCCAATAGGGGGATAAGGTGTCCGTCCGGGCCAGGCCCAAAAATTGTAGGGGCACAATTTTTTTTAAGTATTATATATATGTATATAAGCCCACTTATTTTAAGGCCCAGTCCACCCACACCCACCACTTAATTTATCTACCCCTAGCCCAGTCCACCTGACAAAAAAACCAACCGGAAGAAAAGCCAAATGCCGCCGAACGAAGAAACTCAGAGACCCGAAGAAACAAGAGTGTGGAGTCGCCGCCTCCACCGCCGGACGCCGAGTCGCCGACCTCCACTGCTCCACCCTCCAGGTAATTATTCATAGCTTTCCAATTTTGTAATTTTTATTTTTTAAATCTTAATTTTTCTTTCATTGTTTCATTTTTTAGATTTAAAATATAGGGTTAATTATTAGTTTTAAATTTGAAATCTTTTCTAATTTCATTCTTTGAAATAGAATGAATTAATGGTTCTATATGTTATTTATTTGATTTGTATGAATTGATTTAAATTTGTTATTTATGATAATGATATATTTATATTAAAAAAACTGAAAACCAAAAAAAAATTAAAAACTGATAAATTGATGAATTGATATGAATTTATGATCTATAAAAACATTAGAACTGAAAAAGAAAAAAAACAATTAAAAAAGAAAAAATGACGAATTTATATTAATTTATGATATATTTATTTATTTGCTTGCTTTTTCAGTTTTTCATTCTTGATTTTACTTAGTAGAATTTATGAATTTGGATTTTATTTCAGAAATAATTCAATAGCTATAGCTCTTAAACAATTATACGGTATGTAATTATAATACTATAATTTTGTCATTTATCTTTTTCTTCTAATAATATTGCGTTAATTATAATTTAAATATAATTAGTTTACATATGTGAATTTGTTAGACCATTAAGGATAAGACTTTTAGGGCATTTTTTCTGTTTCGGCCCAGACTGATGAATCCTCGGAACCGGCCCTGGTAACAACTCTTTTTGAGAACGGATAAAATATAATTTTACTTAAAAAGTCAAAATATGGTAATTTTTTAGGGAAATTTGCACTGAATAGGACTAAAACATAAGTCATTTCCCAATGTAGAACTTAAACTTTTTTATTTCCTAAACAGCACTTAATATTTAATAATGACTAGTGAGAAGAATAATGTCTAAGTGATGCTGGACATTTAGTTGAATAATAACTACTCCCTCCGTTTGGAAAAACACTTCCCATTTGAATTTGGGGCAAAAATAAGAAAGTGTTAAATTATAGTTGATTTCTAATTTTGCCCCTCATGTGATGGGTAAAAGTAAGATGTGATGGATAGATTATTAGAGAAAAAATATGATGTGATAGGTAGGGTATGAAAAAGTAAGGATAAAAGTGGTTTTTTAATAGAAAAAGGAAGTGTTTTGTTGGAAGTGGAAAAATGAAAGAGGAAGTGTTTTTGAGAACGGAGGGAGTAATAGATAGTGACCAAAAGTTCTACATTAGAAAATAAAAACATATGATCCTATATTGAGAAAGTCATTATGTTTTAGTTCTATTTAGGTAAACTACTCGATTTTTTTATGAAGGAGTTCAAATTGTGGTTGGTGCGGGTGTAATCCACTTCTATGGGTCAAAATGCGTTTAAAAAAAAATAAGTGGTCAAGAATGACTAGTGGATGAGGCGATAATGATTGGCAAGGTCAGGAACTTCGTCTCTATGTTTCAGCTTTGGCTGCGCTATTTTGAAATGGACATAAGAGTGGTACACCAAAATATGGTATTCCATTTGTATACTAGACAAATATAGATTCTTAATGTTTGTGATCTATTAGAATGGAGCATGCTAGTGATATACCCGAATGAGATATTCTATTTGTAAACCAGACAAATAAAGACACTAAGTGTCTGTGTTGGTCTGATGTATAAATAGGATACCCCATTTTTGTATACCCCTAGATTTATTCATTTTGAAATTACACAACTATATACTGCCCTCTTATTTCAAAAGTGGACAAATATTCCGGAACGGAGAGTATTATTTTAAATAAAGTACTTCTTCCGTCCCACAAAACTCTTCCCTTTTCCTTTTTCATCCGTCTCAAAAAACACTTTTTTTTCTTATTAAAAAGTCACTTTTACCTAGGGGTGAGCACGGGCCGGTCCGAGCCAAGTTTTGTATAAACCGGACTCGGCTTGTTTTTATTAAAACGGTCCGGGCCAGAATGGCTTTTCGAAATTTTAAAATTGAAACCGGACCTAACCCGGCTTGTTTGAAATGAGCCGATTTCACGGGTCAACGGGTCCTAAACCAATCATGATACTAACATTCTCCAAAAGAAATAGAAATTACAGAATAATGCCTTCAAAGGGTAATTGGATGGTGGATTATGAGGAATTGAGGTGTGAATAATTACAGGCCACACGTCCACATACAAAATTGATGTAGAGGGATAAATGAAAATAAAACAATTGCATAAATGAAACACATCCACATATATAAAACACGTCCACATAATTGCAGGCCACACGTCCTGGAAGGACCGAAAGATTGAAGGGCTTAGGCGGATATATCCGTATATTTACTAAAAATAATATTAAAAATAATATTGGGATTTAAAAAAAACGTTCCGGCCCGGGTCCAATACAATTTTAAAATGGGGAACCGGACCGACCCTAAAAGCTATAAGTCAAAGCATGAAGAATTTTTAAGATTGGAGAAAATATATTTTATACAAAACCATTTAAATATTAAATAAAATAGTTCTAATAAAGATTGGCTAACCTTGATTAATTTTTCAAAATGGACAAAAGATTAACATGTCGAAAAGTAAGTTTCAACTCATGAAAATCGAGTCTAACAAATTAGACTTGAGGAATTTACTTAAATAGGATTAAAACATAATGATTTTCTTAATATAGGATCATATATTTTTATTTCCCAATGTAGGATCATTGGTCATTATCCATAAGTCATTATTCAAGTAAATCTCCACCATAAATGGACATTATTTCTCTCACTAGACATTATTAAGTTTTATTTAAATAATTAAAAAATTTAAGTCCTACATTAGGAAATGACTTATGTTTTAGTCATATTGCACGCCCTTCATATTGTATGCTAGTTGCCTTATTGCCGCCGTGCATTTCAGTAATGTTGTAACCCCTCTCCAATCTCGTATCTGACTCTAATGTAAAAAATTAGTTTGTATTGCTAAGTCATCAGCAATACGGAGAAACAATCAACGACTCATACAGAAACGATGCCTAAATTGGTTGTCGGTGTAGACAGGGACCTCCGCAAAGTAGACAGAAACCAACTGCTCATGACCAGCTACAAGTTCAAATATAATAAAAATATTAAAATTGAATGCAATTATAAAACAATATTAAAATATAGCTAGATTATAAGATTGAATATAAAAAAAATCATACCCCCCTGATCTCGGGGTAACACTTGTTGTCTTCTTTGTGACGCCGATGAATGTATAGTTTCACATTGGGGAGTTGATATTTGCACTCCATATTTGTTATCTACACTCCACACTTTTACTTTCTTTTATATGTTGACAACTTTAGCCTTTTAATTAAAAAACCTCATTCGGTGTAGTGCGGCATATATATCTTCGGCGCTCACCTTACCATGCCTCATTTAATTTACTCAATGGTTTTGTAATTTCTACTCGTATTTTAAATTATAAATCTTAAGCATACTCACCACCAATAATGTTATAAAAATATAATATAAAAATAATATTCCCTCCGTTCCTATAAGCCATTCCCATTTTGAGTTTGGGCCAAAATAAGAAAAGTGTAATTTTGGTTGATTTTCCTATTTTTCCCTTGATGTGATGCATAAAAGTAAGATGTGATAGTTTGGTTGTTAGTGAAAAAGTATGATGCGATAGGTAGGGTATAAGTAAAGGTAAAAGTGATTTTTATATAGAAAGTGGAAGTGCTTTAAGAAATTGGAAAAAACAAAAGGTGAAGGGTCTTATGGAACTGGGGGAGTATTATAACAGTACATTATAAAAAAATAAAAAATATATAATAATATTTTTTATCTTCTATTAATTCTTTTACAAAATAATGATATTATTTTTATATTCAGCCTAAAAAAATATGAAAAAATAATATTATATTTTTACATTATACTCCCTCCGTCCCAAAAAGAATGTTACGTTTCATTTTTTGCGCATCCCTTAAAATACTTTTATATCGTCTCAAATGCCAAAAAAACTTTCAAAACAATTTCATCTTATAATAAAGAGTAAATATGGTAAATTTTAGAATTTTTAGATGTGAGTAGCAGTGCTTTTTGTGATGCGCAAAAAAATGAAATGTAACATTCTTTTTGGGACGGAAGGAGAATATAATAATATTTTTATAATATTATTGGCCGTGAGTGTGTCTCGGAATTTACATTGAGAATTTATAGTCAAAGAAAAAAGTTACAAAACAATTGAGTGACGTGAGCTAGTGCATCAAGGGGGATTTACTAGTTACGAAGGGCAAAGTTGTCAATTTATAGAAAGAAAATAAAGGTGTGGAGTGTAGGTAACAGATGTGGAGTGCAAATATCAATTCCCTTCGCATTGTGCTAGAAGAATTTGCGCAGCACTCGTCACCAAATTAAAGAAAATTGCTCGGCTTTGTCGGAAGATGAAGAAGAATTCATGATACAAAATATTTTGTAAATGGAAAAAGTATTTTTTTTAGAGAGTATTCATGAAAGTTTGAGTAAATGTGGGTTTAAATAGAGTAGATTTTTTTTTGGACCCAATGGTTACCTTTTTTCGATTTTGTGTAGGGGGAGTAACAGTCATAAGAAAGAAAAGAAATGTTGTTAGATCGTGGGGATCGACGTGCAAAAACTTGCAACACCGAGTCCCGATCGTTCACGGGGTGGGAAGGAGGGCGGTGTTCCTCGTCGGGACCGCGTGCCACCTGGGCCACGCCGAGCCCACACCCCATAATTAGCCTAAATCATTCGGCCATAGTCTCAACAGTATGTGGTTGGTTGGTATCCTTACCTACTCTGATGATCCTAACGTTGGGGAGACACGTGTTCCGGGGAAAAAGGATGTCCACTCAACAGTATGTTACATTGATGGTTTACACTAACACAAAGTGTTGGTGCGTTAACAAAAATTTACACTGACACAAAGTATTGGTGCATTAATAAAAATTAGCATTACACCAACATAAAATGTTGGTACATCCCTACGGTGTATAAAATGGGGTACAAATAGCATTATCCTATTTTGTATCTTGTGATTATTAAGTTTATACTCTGTGCACTGAAAATTTATACACACTCGTAATTCAAAGTGGGCAAAATATCAGTGTGAATGTTGCAATCGCATTGACATTTTGTGGTGTGAAGATCCGATCTATAATCAAAAGTGAAACCAAAATAATCCAAAAAGTGAAGATCCGATCTATAATCAAAAGCACGAAATGTTTTGAACATAATCGAATCCAACTAAATAAATCACACAAGATTTAAATATGAAACCGATCAGATCAGAACCGATTAAACTTGGAAATGATAAGACCCGAAACCGATAATATCCAAAATTGATAAGACTTGAAATCAATAAAATCTGAACCGATTAGACCTGAAATCGATTAGAGATTAGTGTTAACGTTTTGAAAAGGCTATCTAACGGTAATTTTTGGCATTATCGTTATCAAAGTTGATGAGCTACACCATTAAAATTTTATCTAAAATGCAAACAATCTTCCCAAACAAGCTTTAATTTTCATCTGATTGGGTTCAATCTTAGGGTTGTTCTCTTCGTTTGTTTAATCTGATTGGATTACGTTTTGATCTGATCTAATCTGTTTATATCTAAATCTATTTCTGACCTAATCAAATCTGGTCTTATTTAATCCAATAAAAATAAGTAATAAGCATAGTTTTTAGAACCGAACCGGTGATCGAACCGGTCAAGGCATTGGTTCACTGGTTTACTAGTCGAACCAGTGGTTCGAGTGGTTGAACAAGTGGTTCAAACATTTTTAATATATATATATATATATATATATATATATATATATATATATATATATAGGGGCCGGTTCCTGTGAGAATGCACCTTGTGGAGAGAAATGAGAATGAAATCTAGCCGTTAGATCTGATGTATCGTGCGGCTAAGATTGCATCCTGCGCTCAAATTTTGAGATAGTGCATTTTCAAAGGATTATGATGCATTTTCAAACCATTGTGTTGCACATAATTTTGATGCAATCCTGACCCTTAGATCCCACAATCTAAAGCACCAGATTTATTCTCATTTCTCTCTTAAGATCGCATTCTCACCAGAACCAATATATATATATATATATATATATATATATATATATATATATATATATATATATATATATCAGTGTGTGTGTGTATGCATGCATGTATGTATAGACATGTTGTGGCATTGAATTAAAAAACTAATATATGGGTAAATAAAATAATATTTCCTCTATTTATAAATAAAGAATTGATGTTTTACTAAATTTATAATTTAACTTAATTTACTTGAGTTGTGTCATTAAATAAAAAATAAAATTTACTTATTTAAAAAAGCTTATAAATAAAAAGTGATTTGAATTTTTTTTAAACAGTTTACCTATTAATTTAAAAATATATATAAAATATTTGTGTGATATGCACTCCATATCAATTATATTAATGGGTTTTGAATTTTCGTAAAAAGAAATAAATATCTATATACATCTATAGTATTTGAGAGAAAAATTTAGTTTAAGAATACTACCAACGAAAAGTAGAAAGTTACAATTAAGGTTAGTAGTGGAGGTGGATTCCAGCTGCTACATTTATCCACGCATCCCATGTTCGAATCCCAGCGATGTGTCTTTTAAAAATCTTCAAAAAAAAGGCAAAAAGCTCGTACTCCTTCGTCGCAATTTATGTTTCTTATACACTATTCACGTTATCAAATTTTAATCACTTTATTTGCCTATTTTGGTTACTTATTTGGTAAAATAATATAGTCATGCCATCTCTCTTGGTTCGTAGAACTTTTGATAAACTCTGTAGTTTTTAACACTTCAATTATATGCAAGTGTAATCCACATTTCATTGGTTCCTTTCCGATCCACTCTCAGTTCTTCTTCACTAATTTTGTTTTTTACCTATTAGATACGGGGTTAAAATATAACTTTTCACTCACCTATCAATTAAACACCTCTCTTATCCTCATATATGTCTTTTAGTCATATTTTACAAATTTGGGCTACAAATTATATGATATGTTAAATAACCCCGCCCTTTTGGATGGGAGAGGGGCCGGGTTTACCCCCACCCTTTATATGTGATATTTTCCTTTCCTATCCACCCCTTTTTATTCATATTTTACAAGCATGCTTTTATCCATGTCTCTTTTTTTTGCATATCACATTTTTTTGTGATTATATTATTTTATTAAACAAGACATGAAAATAGATCAACAAAGTGAATAAAATTTGACATTGTAAATAGTGAATGAGAAAATGTTAAACAATGTGAGATGTTGAATTGATTATAGACTACAAAATGTGATATGAAAAAAAAACATGGATAATCAAATTTTAATTAGAAAGTACTCCCTCCGCTCCAAAAAGAATTTCTTACTTTGATTAACGTGTAAAATCTCGTGATTTTTAAAATCATTTTATTTGCAAATTGGTAAAGAAATAACACATAAGAAACTTATATTCAAAAACTACATAGAAAACTCTACAAAATAAGAGGTAACAAAAATATTTTATTTTATCAAATGATCAATGAAAGCACGCAAACAAATAAGAGTTATGGAGAGATCATAATAGTAAACAAGAAAGACTTTTTGGGACGGAAGGAGTAATATATATCCAAAATAAATTCGAAACGAAAAATACTTGAATTGAAGTATATCTAAAATAAAATGGATCTCAACTGAGATATATCCAATTCAAACTGAACTATGACAACCACATTGTCATTATTGTATTGTCGCCACACTGACACAATCGCAACCATATTACCACCTCCACCGTGTTTCCACCTTCACATTGTTATTGCCACCGCCACAACCTTTGTCCCCACTACCACAATCACACTACCACCACCACATTGCAGTACCAACTTTGTGGCCACACTGCTACACCATTGCCACAACCACACTGTCACAACGACAACAACATTGCCACCTCAGTCGCACTACCACCGCGATACACCACGCACCACACCAAATTCAATAAAAAAGTTCACAAATGATTGGCTTAAAAAGAATGTGTAGATGTAAGAAGAGAATCAGCGGTTGTAAATAAAAACACTACAATGTAGAAAATAAAAAACAATACACATGAAGAAACTGATCTTTAACGCACATATACGACAACCCTTGCCGATGATGCATCTCAGCAATGCAAATGAAATCCGATTGGGGAGAAGAGTGTTGCCGACTCTGGAATGCATGAATCAAAGATCGGGCGATCAAAGGCTAGATCTGCAGGATCCAGTTCGGGAGATGAACGCGATTAAAGCTCTTCAACCGCCGCCGCCGCCGTTGCAGGGAGATTTATCAGCGGATAAGAGGGAGGTGAATGCATCGGAGAAGAAAGAAGCGGCAGTGGCTGGAGATTTGTTGTGCTTGGCCGGCATATTCTGCACGGCTCATTCTCCACTCCTTAGATCTTTTTTACCATAAAACTCATCCTCTGTATCTTTTATTTTGAGAAATTAACAGTCGGGCATTTCACATTTTTAAAATATACTTCGAGTACTCATTATTTTGAGAAATCGACTATCGGGTACCTCACATTTTTAAAATATACTCCGAGTACCTCCAAATATACATTAACTTATCCGTAATGGACATTCCGTCTCACTCTCCATCAAAGCCAGTTAAGCCATTAATTTTAATAAATGGGGGTTTGGAATTCTAAAAATAACCTTGGTTCTTACGGAGTATATTTTAAAGAAACTATCTATCTAGTTTAATCAAATCATTTGAATGAAATGGAATGCCCATCACGGGTAAGTTAATATACATTTGGAGATATCTCGAAGTATATTTATTAAAAATATGAGTTATTCGACAATTAATTTCTCAAAATAATGGGTATCTCAGAGTATATTTTAAAAATATTAGGTATCTGATAGTTAGTTTCTCTAGATAGTTAGTTTCTCTAAATAAGGGTACTTAGGTGCGATTTTCTATTTTTTTTACTACTCCGTCCGTCCGGAAATGTTTCTCCCATTTGATTTTTCACGGTCTCCAATATTGCACTTTAACCATTAATATCTATATTTATACATAGATATATTTTTAAAAAATTTGATATTTGAAAATTATGTTTCATTATGAATATATGATATGGTATCGTATCGGGATAGGGAAGGTTGAACACCTTCGAGCTATAAAATCGAGAAAAATGAAGAGATTGAGAAAGGAGAGGGGAAGACGGCCGTTGATCGGCGATGAGGAGAGGGAGAGTTTAGAGTTAGAGAAATATTTCTTTATTGATTGATTAATAAAATCATGCATAATGACTACATATATAGATGGTTGTTCTAAAGAGTCCAAGCCACAAAAGGTAACTAATTAAATTAAAATACTAATAACCTAATATAATAATACTTTCTAATAATAATATAATTATCTAATAATAATAATAGTAAGATAATAATAATGGTAAATAAGTAAATATAGTCTTGTATCAATATATTAATATTTAATTTTACATCATATTACAATATGTTTTTTCTATAGATCATAATCAAAATTTACAAATTTTGACCAAGAAAAATTAAATACGGAGTATAAGGAACATTTTCGGAGGTAAGGAGTAATCCTTTTCACGATTTTGACATTTTGAACTCTTTGCTTCTGTTCTTTCTGCATGCGGGCCCAAATGGCCAAATGCAACGAAGAAATAACGGAGCACTTTTCTTTTACAGTTTTACTACGTAAAAGTGTATTGTTTACCGTACAAAACTTTTCTTTCCATTCCACTTTTAAAAATTTTCAATATTTTATTTTGATTATTAATATTTATATTTGTACATAGATATATTTTATAAAATTTTGATATTTCAAAATTATGTTTTAAAAAGAATATATTGATAATACATTTATTTCATAACGAAAATTATTTTTTTTCAAATCGTAAAAGGGTAAATTTCAAGAATAATGGCTTAACTTTCAAGAACATTTTGATTTGGTATTTGAACTTCAAAACTTTTCACAAAAATATTTGAACTTTTACTATTTTCCACTAATAATCTATTCTCCCATTATCATCAGGTGACCAGCAGGTCACTTTGGGCAAAATTGCATGATTCAATTTTTTATTTTTTCACATTGACCCATATTTCTTCTTTTTCTTCTCCTTAAACACCCACAATTTATGTTCTTTTCTTTTTCAAACCACTCCTTTTCTTCTCTCATTTCTTTTTCCCATCGTTTCTTTTATTTTTGGTTTTTTTCTTTCTTTTTTTCTTATTCGCTATTTTTTCCTCTTTTCCTTTGCTTCTTTTTGTCTTTTGATTCTTTTTTAACTCTTTATTTATTACGGAGTATTTTTTATTCACTCTCACTTTTTATGATTTCTTTCATTTTTCTTTTAATTTTTCCATTTTAAATTTTTTTCGCTGTTTGTTTACGTTTTCTACGTTTATTTTCTTTATTTCCTTTTTAAAATCTTTATATATTACTTATTTCTTTTCCGTCTTTTCTCATTTCTTACTTGTTTTCTTTGTTTTGTTTACTTTTGTGTTTTTTTTCTTTTTTCTTTTATTCATTTGTTTCGTTATTTTTTCCTTTATATTTTATCTTTTCTATGAATAATTGTGATATTTTACATTTAATCAATTTAATTAAACAAAAAAGCATACCATGCGTCTTAATTTTTTTGTTTGTTTCATTTGAAGTTTTTTGTTTGTTAACTTTTTTTTTGTGTGTTTTTAATCTTTATTGTAAACAATTAAGTAAAACAAGTGAAAAAATAAGCCCTAAATAACCCATCTTTATTACGGGTGCAATTGGAGGGGGTGGGGGGGCGTGTTCGGGTCGGGGCGTGGTGGGGGGTTTACCGGGGGTAGGAACCGTCAATTTTACGAACGGGGCACCGGAGCACCCCCGGGTCATCCCATGACATTGGTTCTCAATGTCATTTGAACCGGCCTCATTCATCATACAAGACTATTGTTTATTGTTCAAGAGAAGTGAGTGAATTGAGCCATTACATGAATTATAGAAAAATTCAAAATTTACATGGACTAGTTAATTAACAATAAAGTAAATATATTGATAAACATGGGCGGGCCTCTTGGCTGGGATGGGCTAAACGTAACTTCCAAATCCGTCCATATACAATTCGGTCTGACCCGCCCATGTGGGTTTTAAAGGTTGCCCAGGCCATATCCGCCCTTTTTAAAGGGTGGGCTGGGCGAGTCGGACGGGCTGACCCTTGTTTGTACAGGTCTTATCACATTAAGAGTAATTTGAGAATTTCAACATAAAAATATCCCTTCCTTAAAGAATGAATGATATGCCACACTAACTCTGGACAAATAAAGGAGAGAGGTCAAACTTTGCGGGGATTGAGCAAGAGGAGGAGGAGGTCTCTCTATTTTTGGTGAGCAATGAAAAATAAGAGACCAACATGAAGCACATGTGGTGGGTAGTTCTGTTTGCTTATAAGCTAGTCAAAACTATTTTTTTTTTTGAAAACAAAGAAATCACTTCACTCAACCAAAAAAGGCCGTACAAAATCAGGTGGAGTCACAAACCAAACCCCAGCCTCCATCACAACTCTTTTCGCCAACACATGAGCTACCACATTAGATGTTCGAGGGACAAATGACAAAGTAGCATAATTAAACTGAGATAACAAGCCTCGACAATCACTAATAATCGAACCAACATGAGACAAAAAAGTAGACTCTCCATTTATTGCATCCACAACCCTAGAGCAATCCGAGAACACCTCCAACTCCGTAAGTCCTTGCTCCCTTGCCCAACCCAAAGCCCTTCTACATGCCATCGCCTCCGCTAAACCTGGATCAGTCTCACATACTAATTCTCCATTCAACGCAGCAAAAAAAGAGCCATCATGGTTAAAGAGAACACACCCAAAGCAAACCATAGAAGAAGGGGGGAATAAAGCTGCATCCACAAACAATTTGAAAGCTCCTGATCTTACCGGCCTAGGAGATGGTAAAGGCAGCCCAACCGCTCGACTAGAAGTACTCCTAGACCAACTTTTTTGAGTTTCAGTAACAAGACATACCGTGCTCGAGGGTGTAGGAACTTGAAACCGCCAAACTGCAGCATTGCGGGCTTTCCATAACGCCCAAATAGCCACAGCAAACAACTGCAACTCTGACCGAGAGGTTGTCTGCACCACCTCCCGAAACCAGGCATGAGCCAAAATGCTCCCTTCACGAATAACACGCAAACCCAACCGGGCCCAAATTGTCACCGCATAAGGACAGTGAAGGAATAAATGCTCAACCGTCTCCTCACCCAAACCACAAATAGGACATACATTCATAATGTTAAGTCCCTTAGTGTTAAGGTTAGAGATGGTTGGCAAAATATTTTTGATAGCTCGCCATAGACAAACCTTGATTTTCGGTGCAACTGGGATATGCCAACAACGTGTCCAGTTCACCTCATTTGCTGCCGCTTCAACCTCTCCAACATGCCTCCTATAGCCATCCTTAACACTGTAGCCTCCATGCAAAGTACCAGCCCAGAACCACCCATCCTCGTGTGCAGCAGAGAAAGGAGTTCTCATAATTCTGTCCGCAACTGCCGAAGGAAACCACTGCCGCACCACCTCCATTCTCCAACAATTGCTTCGCTCATCAATAAGGAAGTGTACCGGCATGTTTGGCATAAACGGTGGTGGTGATGAATCCACAACTGAATTACCATGGCTCGCCATCCAAGGAGGACCCCAAATCAGAGTTTTCCTCCCATCTCCAATTCGTCGCCTAACTCCAGCTCTTAATAGATCTTGGGCTGCAAGGATGCTCCGCCAACAGTAGCTCGGATTAGAGCCTAACCCCGCCTCAAGAAAGGAGGATTTTGGGAAGTATCTTGCTTTAAACACACGTGAAACCAAAGCCTTCGGTTGCACTAGAAATCTCCACCCTTGCTTTCCCAACATTGCCACATTGAAGCCATGAAGCTGCTTGAAACCCAGACCTCCAAATTTTTTAGGGATAGTTAGGCGTTGCCAAGACATCCACTTGATACCGGTAGAATTCATCCCCTTGCCACACCACCAGAAGGAGTTCATCATTCGTTCAATGGCCGAACACAATGACCGTGGAAGTAAAAAAACTGACATGGCGTACTGGGGCATCGCCTGTGCTACAGTTTTTAAGAGGACCTCTTTCCCTGCCCGTGAGAGTATCTTTTTTCCCCACCCGGTAAGCCTGCATCGAATCTTATCTGCAATATAAGAAAACACTTCAGTTTTATTCCTCCCTAAAAAAGAGGGCAAACCAAGATATTTTCCAAAATCCTCCGACTGAGTAACTCCAAGGAAAGAAGAAAGTCCCCCCTTAACAGCATCATTTGTGTTGGTACTAAAACAAATGTTAGATTTATGAAAATTCACCATCTGCCCCGAACTACGTTCATAATCATCGAGACATCTCTTCACCTCTCGAGCCTCCTCTTCAGTAGCCTTAAATAAAATAAGGCTATCATCGGCGAACAGAAGATGAGAAATAGGAGGAGCCCCGCGAGCCACTCTAATACCATGCACTAAGTGTCTTCGTTCTGCATCCTGTAAGAGAAAAGAAAGGCCCTCTGCACATAAAATAAACAGATAAGGACTAAGGGGATCACCCTGACGCAAACCCCTAGTCGGAATGATAGGCTCTGAAAGAACTCCATTGACAAGGACTCTATATCGGACTGAACGAACGCACAGCATTATTAGATTGGTCCATTCTCTGTCAAAGCCCAATTTAAATAACATGAACTCTAGAAAGTTCCATTCCATGCGATCATAAACTTTGGCCATATCCAGCTTGAGCCCTGCCCACCCCACTATCCCAGCATTCTTCCTTCTAAGAAAGTGACCGAGTTCAGATGCAAGAAGGATATTATCAGAAATAAGCCTACCTGGAAGAAAGGCAGACTGTGCCTCAGAAATAATATGATGTAACAAGGGCTTCAGTCGATTTGCTACCATCTTCGCCACAATTTTATAAATAATATTACAAAGAGCAATTGGCCTCAAATCAGCAACAGTATCCGGGCATTGTTTCTTCGGAATTAATACTATGGTAGCATCGTTCATACCCTCAGGAAATGAAACATTCCTAACACAATTAAGCACAAATCTTGTCACATCCTCACCCACAATGTCCCAAGAACATTCCTAACCCAAAAAACTATTTATAACTACATCTTAACTTCAGGAAATGAAACATTCCTAACCCAAAAAACTATTTATAACTACATCTTAACTTATACTCTCTCCATCCCAAAAAGTCATTCACGTTTCAAAAAAATGGTGTCCCACAATCTCTTTCTCATTTCTATTAAAAAACCACTTTTACCTCTTACTTTTTCATGTCTTACCTATCACATCATACCTTTTTCCTAATAATCTACCCATCACATCATACTATTACCCATCACATCAAAGGTATTTTTAGAAAGTCAATAAAAAATTATCTCTCCCTTATTTTGCCACTTTAGTCAAATGTCGCTCTCTTTAGGGGACGGTGGCAGTAAGTTAGCTGATGACATGTTTCTGTATACTTATAAGCTGACTTATAAACTGCTTATAAGTCAAAAAAATAAGTAGATCTTAGCTACTTATTTTTAAGTCATTTTTTTCATTTTTATGTTTTGACCATATTATTTACAAAACTTTCCCTCTATTCTCGAACTAAAGACTAATCTGCTATGTTCTTTTCGTTCTCGAACTAAAGACTAATCTGCGGCTGAGTATTGGACAAATGCAAGAAAGAGGTTTTGAGGTTGATTACTGAAGCAAAATTTATTCCAAAAATTACTTTTGTTTTGGAATGAATTTTTTACCACGACATAATTTTTTTTACTGGGGGAAACATTTAATTTATCAGATTTGTTTTTAAAAATTGTTACACTACACATTTAAAAAAATTGACCACGGAGAGATTAATGAGTAACTTCCTAAAAAATTTATTAGATTAATGAGTAATTCTCTTCCTAAAAAATTTATCAGATTAATGAGTAATTATCTTTATAAATAAAGTATGTCTACATTCATTCATTTCTCAATGTACCAAGAAAGTCATAATTGATAGTTAATATGGAATGAATGGAGTAAATAAAATTTTACTAAAATAAGAGCATTAAGAACCGATGAATAATCTTCTAAGAAGGAATAAAATCAGAAATTAAATGAAGGGTAAGGTCATGCTCAGTGGCGGACCCAGAAATTTTGGATCGTGGGGTCGTGTCTCTGAGATATTTTATCAACACATGACATGTCGAACGTTAAGTAAAAATGTACTTTCTTGTCACATGTTTGTCTCATTTCAGCTTATAATATTTAACTAAAACATTTTTTTAAATTTATTTAAATATTTGTGTCGAATAAAAACTTAAAATTGTAGATTTAAAAATAACATAAAATATTTTATGAGTCAAGAGTTTTCATGACTATAATTTTTAATAAAATGATAGACGAAAACATGTAAAGAAAAAATATCTAATTTAACTCTGTAAATAATGGATAAGTCAAACATAACGAGATGATGGGAATAACTTATAAAGTTAAAAGATTAGATTTATTAAAAAATATTAAATTGGATTAATTTTAATGCCAATTACATAAATTTTGCATGGCATATTTTCAAAAAGAAATAAATTTCAGAAAAAAATCGACAAGATAAATCTATTAAAATTAATTTTATTTCGGTAACCTATTCAATTTTAAATTGACTGATAATCAAAATTTATCCAGTCTGACTTCAAAAGTCAATTTAGACGAATAGTAATTTTTATTTCAATACCAATTCGTAAATAAAGTATACATAAAAGATTTTTTATTTTAGAGTTGTTAAAAAAAGTAAAATCAATTATGTGAGGAAAGAATTTGACTAAGCAATGAAGGAATGAAACAAAAAAAAAGAAAAACAAAAAAGAAACGTACAAAAAAATGGAAAAGGAAAACAAAATAAACAAAAAGTAATTTTTATTTCAATACTAATTCGTAAATAAAATATACATAAAAGATTTTTTATTTTAGAGTTGTTAAAAAAAAGTAAAATTAATTATGTGAGGATTGAGGAAAGAATATGACTAGGCAATGAAGGAATGACTAGGCAATTTTGCCGCTTTCCATTCCGTCTACAGATCCATGTTAGAACTTTTGCGTTTTGCTAAATACATTATATAGTAATGCTATATTTTTACCTAAATATATATATAAATATATAAAAAATTACAAAATTCCGTGGGGTCGCGTGACCCCGTGTGACTCTACGTGGGTCTGCCCCTGGTCATGCTCTCTTCGCATGGTCAGAATAGTTTTGATATGATTGGAATAAATTTTGATTTGATTTGATTTGAATGTAGTTATATTTAAAGCTATTTCTAATCTAATATGATTAGATCTGAACTGAACGGATTACAATAAGAAAAAATAATAATAATAAGTTAAGCAAACATAACGTAAATCAGGAAAACTCCTATATAAAGGGAAATCTTAAATAGTCTTATCTAAGGAAAACTATTAGTCATATTTGAAAAAAGCTACTTCTCCATCTAAAAAATAAGTTTTTGATTTGACTTGACACAAAGTTTAAGAAAAACAAAAATATGTAAGTAAAAGTAACAATAGAAGTCTTTCAAAAAATGAAAAAGAATTTTTTTGGAGACGTCCCAAAAAGAAAATATTAAACTTTTTTTTGAGATGGAGTGAGAAGGTACTCTGCACTCAAATAATAAAAGATATATTATTTTAAAATTCACAAAAGACAAGTTTGTGAACTATATGTTTGTGACTCTAACACTTTACTTTGTCAAACTTGAGGCATTAGACTATTTGGTCACTACTAAATATTTGAATTGGATTTGCTTGATTTGAAAAAGTGCTAAAATGTCGCGTGATGTTGGTGAAAAAGAACAGTAAAATTGTCGAACATTTTAGATAGTAAAAAAATGCTAGTGGCATACCAAAGGTGTAACCCAAATGTCCTCCACATCCCTCCTTGGCCACTAAAAAAGGCAAAAAAATTAAAAAAAAAAGTAAATAAAAATAAAATAAAAATGTGTGGAGAAAAAGAGGGTGGTGTACATTTCGAGTACACCTTTGGTGTACCCATAGCATTGCTCATACGAGTATGTTCAAGTAATATGAGTTGGAAAATGCTAGGGTTACACCAAAAGTGTACCCCAAACATCCCCCACCTCCTCCATCACCACACAAAAAAGACAAGAAAAATTCAAAAAAAAAGTAAAAAATAAAAATAAAATAAAATGAATGGTAAAGAGTGGGGTGGTGTACATTTGGGGTACACCTTTGGTGTACTCCTAGCATATCCCATATGAGTTTTTGACTAGGACTACTCCGTAAGTCCGTATAAATAAAAATACTCCCTCCCTTACAAAAAAATACTCCGTATGACTTTACACAAAATTTTAAAAAGTAAAAATGTGTTGTTGAAAGTGCCACTCAAAATTTTTCAAAAAAGGAGATCGGAAATCTTTTTGGGACGTCCCAAAAAAATACTCCCCAACATCTCATAAAACGTACGCGCACCCTTAAAATAAGTAATTTCAGTATTTTTTTCTAATTTTGTCTTAATTTATACTCCGTAATAGAGTAGGATGAGATGTATAAAATAGATGAGTCGTAATTAGAAAATGATACTAAAGTTACTCATTTTAAAGGCGCGTCTTTTTTCAAACAGAAAAAACTTTATGGGACGGATGTAGTATTAAACTTTTTTTGGGACGGATGAAGTAATACTGTGGGTAAATAGATTTAAAGCATGTGGAACAAAAAAACCAATTAGGCGTAAAGTTTGCCATATTTAACGAGAACTATGTAGGATAGGGAGGTTATAAATACCCAGCACAAAAACTCATTTTAAGAGTGCAAAATTGAATTATCTCGTTAAAGAAATTACAATTCCTAAATTTCCTATTCCCTATTTAAAAAAAAAATAAACATAAAGAGATAATTGCCATGGATGCTTTTTATTGTTCTCAAAAACTTGTGTTAATTGCAATTGCATATGGCTTATTATTAGGGCGCTCCCTTGGTGCGGGCCCACAGAAGAAGTATGGGTCGATCATTAGTTTCGGCGACTCGCTTGCCGATACCGGAAACAAAATCACTTTCACCAGTTCACAAGCCTCCCGGCGTCCGTACGGAATGAACTTCCCCGGCGGCCCCACCGGTCGTTTTTCAAACGGCCGACTCATCGTCGATTTCATAGGTACTCCCTTGCTACATTGTTCTTTCTTTGAATTTTTCGAATCAAACTCGACGAGTTCTGAATCTTAATTAAACTCATTGAATCTGGTTGGAAAAAAGTCAAAGTCAAACGAGACAAATAAACCGAGGGGTAGATGAAAAAAATTACTCGTGGTCTGTTAATTATGTCTATGCAGCTCAAAGCATGGGGCTCCAGTTGCTGCAGCCGTATCCGGCGAAGAACGACAGTAATTTCAGCGGCGGCGTGAATTTTGCGGTGGCTGGAGCTACGGCGTTGAACTCCACCCCTTCATATCTTTCATTGGGAACCCAGTTGGAATGGTTCGAGAAAATGCTTCCATCTCTTTGCAACAATATATCAAGTAAGTCCCCATCCATATATGTATCTCTCATAACCTTCCTAAATAGCAAATCAATGAATAAAAAAAATAAATTCTTTTGATATTTTTTTCGATTCTATTATAATGTAGTATCTGTTCATATATTTTTTAATTTAATGATGGACAACGAGCCAATGCATATCTCCACCACTAGTGAGTCTCAAACTATTGTTGTTAAGTGTAGAATATGTTTTTAGTCCTGACAAAATGACCTACAAAATGAGTGACTTTTTCTTTGATCTTCAAAGATGCACCCCGGTATTACAGTTCTCAATTAACAAAAAAAAAAAAGTTCTCAGTTAACAAAAAAAACAATAGTAGAAAATGTTGTTTATGGTCAAAATTGTTTGCTAAAGATGCCAAAAACACACATCCATATGCCATTTTAAAAAGGAAAAAAAAGTATTGGCAGTGCCTCTAAAATTTGACATTTTATTGATATATTCAAAAGATTACTTTATAATAATCGATGTTTTAGAAATTAAATTTTCTGTTAAAAAAGTATACCATGATTTTTTTTTCATTTTAGGAAAAAAGGCAAAACTAAAAATAAAATATGGAGAATTGACTACAAAAATAAGATCTCAATCTTTATTATTTCCAAAATAGAAGTTATAATGCCAAAAATGTACCCTCCGTTTCTTAAAACCCTTCC